TGCAGAAAAATAGCTTCGAGCAGTTCTGTATAAATTATGCAAATGAGAGATTGCAGCAACACTTTAACCGTCATCTATTCAAGCTGGAGCAAGAGGTAAAGTTGCCCCTTTCTGAATGAACTATACGGGCGCATGTATTAAATCTACTAAGTCGTGCATTCGAATAGAACTACAATCTAAAAGCTCAACTTTCTCTAATCCTAGTTATTAATGTTCTTTCTATTGTTTCAGGAATATATCCAGGATGGCATTGACTGGACAAGGGTTGATTTTGAGGACAACCAAGATTGTCTTAGTCTCTTTGAAAAGGTATATAATAAGAAGACAATAGACTAGGAAGCAAGATGGACACCCTAACAAGAACATAATAGAGTTCAACTTTTACACACTAGAAAACCGTAGTTTATTTGGTGAAATGCTTACTTATAGCCTGAAACATTTTTTTAAAGGTAATTATCTCTGTTGTCTGTGCAGAAACCATTAGGGCTGCTCTCTCTATTGGATGAGGAATCTACATTTCCGAATGGCACAGATTTGACACTTGCAAACAAGCTAAAACAGCATCTACACTCTAATTCATGTTTCAGAGGAGATAAAGGGAAGCTTTTCACAGTTGTGCATTATGCAGGAGAGGTAATAGCTCTTGAAACCTCAGTGACACCAATTTACAGGGCATTCCAGAAAAGAAAAAAAAAAGGCATTTTATAGTAGGATCTGTGGGCTCTTTCACAGTTGTGCATTATTCGAAAGAAAACAGGAACCTAGTCTCGGTCATGAATGCTTTTTGACATTTTGCTTTTTTAATTGCTTCTCTGAATCAGGTTACATATGAGACGACTGGATTTCTAGAAAAGAATAGAGACTTGTTGCATTCGGATTCTATTCAACTTTTGTCCTCTTGTTCTTGCCTCCTTCCTCAAGCATTTGCTTCTAGCATGCTGATCCAATCTGAAAAACCTGTTGTCGGTCCTTTATACAAAGCAGGTGGTGCTGATTCCCAGCGGTTAAGTGTAGCTACTAAATTTAAGGTATGGTGTTTTGGCCTTAACCTCAAACCTGATGTTGCCTCGTTTTGACTACCTGCTTTACTTTAAAGCTCATAATCTGCATAGATGTGATTGAGAAGTATACCGCTTTTAAATCTTGTTGTGGTTTGTGTCAAGATTACCAAATTTTGCCTCCATGCTTACGCTATGAAAAAAAAGCAAACATCTCATCGTCTATGATATCTGATTATTGATGATCTTACCTGGATTTTTTTTCCAGAGTCAACTCTTCCAATTGATGCAACGTTTAGGAAACACTACTCCACATTTCATCCGCTGTATCAAGCCAAATAACATTCAGTCTCCTGGGGTGTATGAGCAAGGGCTTGTTTTACAGCAGCTAAGATGTTGTGGGGTCCTAGAAGTGGTTCGAATTTCACGGTCTGGATTTCCTACAAGAATGTCTCATCAGAAATTTTCCCGAAGGTGACAATGCCATTCATCATTAGTAGTTATGCAAGGGACCTTACAAGCTTTTCTTCCTAAGTTCTAACCAAGTTGATCATATTGTAGGTATGGTTTTCTTCTGGTGGAGAACATTGCCGATAAAGATCCTCTAAGTGTTTCAGTTGCGATTCTCCATCAGTTTAATATCTTGCCGGAGATGTATCAAGTTGGCTACACAAAGTTGTTTTTCAGAACTGGCCAGGTATAATAGTTTGTCGGCTGATGTCAAAGACTTTCTTTTTAAGAGGCAGGAATAAGAGTCTCATGTGCGTTGCAGATTGGGGTTCTTGAGGATACAAGGAACCGTACTCTCCACGGCATTTTACGTGTTCAAAGTTCTTTTAGAGGATACCAAGCACGCTGTCGCCTGAAGGAGCTTAAAATGGGAATTTCTATTCTCCAGTCATGTATAACTCTTTTGTCTCAATTCATTACCCTGGTTTTGCATCTTAAATCTCATTGTAATGGAGATATTTTGAGCTTAACCTGAGAGATGACTTGTCCCACCTCTTTTTCTTCAGTTGTTCGTGGAGAGAAGATAAGAAGAGAGTTTGCCGAGTTACGAAGGAGGCATAGGGCGGCTGCTACTATACAGAGCCAAGTTAAAAGCAAGATTGTTAGGAAACAATATAAGGGCATAGCTGATGCATCGATTTTGATACAATCAGGTAAAAGAGTTTATTGTACTTCTTAGATGTTGCAGATCTTCTCATTAAGAATAATCTTAAGCTTATTTTCATCGTTGATATTGAATTCTTTTAACCTTTTTGCAGTAATTCGTGGTTGGTTGGTCAGAAGATGCTCAGGGGATATTGGATGGCTAAAATCTGGAGGCACTAAGGTAAAAGGGTTATCATATTCACCTACATATCTTCTCACATTCTAATTATTTTCTTTCATCTCATTAACTTGAACTATTTTTGCTATGGTATTAACCAACTGCACAGACAAATGAGTCAGGTGAAGTGCTAGTGAAAGCATCAGTACTTTCCGAGCTTCAACGCAGGGTACTTAAAGCGGAAGCTGCTCTGCGTGAGAAAGAAGAGGAGAACGACATTCTTCAACAGAGGCTTCAACAGTATGAGAACCGGTGGTCAGAGTACGAGACAAAGATGAAATCAATGGAAGAAATCTGGCAAAAGCAAATGAGGTCTTTGCAGTCCAGTCTTTCCATAGCAAAGAAAAGCCTAGCGGTTGAGGACTCAGCGAGAAACTCAGATGTATCTGTCAATGCGAGTGATGCAACGGATTGGGATTCAAGCAGTAATCAATTCAGGAGCCAAACAAGCAACGGAGGAGGGCCGAGACTACAGCCTATGAGCGCGGGGCTGAGCGTGATTGGGCGGTTAGCAGAAGAATTCGAGCAGAGAGCTCAAGTGTTTGGTGATGATGCAAAATTCTTGGTGGAAGTGAAATCTGGTCAGGTGGAAGCAAACTTGAACCCAGACAGAGAGCTGAGGAGGCTGAAACAGATGTTTGAGACATGGAAAAAGGATTATGGAGGGAGACTGCGGGAAACGAAACTGATACTGAGCAAGCTCGGGAGCGAAGAGAGCAGCGGTTCGATGGAGAAAGTGAAGAGGAAGTGGTGGGGAAGGAGAAATAGCACCAGGTATTGATAAAGGAGAAGACTATTCTTACAGGCAAACTTAGGTCGTTTGCTAATTAAGGATTTGGCGGGTTTTATCTGGTAAAGTAGTTAATGATGTTCTTGAGACAACCTCGTATTTGCCTCTCAATGTGAAGGATTATGTGATTATACAAAACAAAAACAAATCTTAATTTAAGTTTGTAAATTTTGTTTTTTTTTTCCAACTTTTAATATAACAAATGTCGAGATTTGGCGAGGTATATCATTCTGCAATGCTTCCATTTTTTAATCCAAAGTTTCAAATTTTATATGGTAAAAAATAGTCAAAGCTAAGTTTATGCTATTTTGGCTTAAGCTATACGGGTTAAAGAGTTGCTTCCACGCTTGAAATGAGGTGACCTTTAGAAGATGAACATGAATGATAACTACGATATTTATGTAAATTTTAATTTGAAGAATTTCGAAATTCTCTTATCTTCACTAATTTTGGAGTCATGTTTTGTCCTCGAATGAAAAATAGTAATTAATATCTAAATGGGATATTAGAATAGCGATGCTATCAGAATTCGATTCCTTTTGTGTAAATTAAGCAACCTAGTGGCTATTCGATTTGGAAATTTAGTTCAAGAATTAAGAAAATAGATTTGTTTTATCATAAAGAACTAAAGAAGGTAACTTTTGAGAGGATTAAGACACATTTGGAATAAACCATTATTACAAATCCGAAAACCATGGAGAAAATGGAAATGGTGGTGGGGACAACTTGGCGTAATGTAAAACCAAGATTCTGTCATAACTAATTATCTTATTGGATATCCAAATCGAATATTCTTCTTTACGTTCGAAAGTTCATTGCAGTTTGCACCGTCCACACATGAGTTTTTTCTCGGCCACAAGAAAATTCGTATCGTAAACTCTCTTTTTCGAAACTCTAGTGTCTTATTTTTTTTTGGTGGTAACTCTAGTGTCTTATGTTCCACATCCAAGTGGTATGAATCACACACGGTGTTGGAATATTTAATTTGGTGCATAATTCTTCAAAAAAAAAAACATATTCTTTAGAAATCAAATCCCCTATATGAAAATACTAAAACAGTCACAAGTTTATACAAAACATTAAATATACACAAGAAATAAATCAAGATAAGAAAAAAAATCCTTATGACAGCAAAAAAAAAAGTTTTCTTTTCTTTTGTTTGTCCGCATATAAGTTGTCACAATTTGAACCCATACTCAAAACTCAAAAGGTTTGGCTTTGTCTAGTTCTTTATTTGAAGGCAGTATATATATTAACATTATCATTTCTGTTCTTTTTTTTGGGTCATACATTAAAATTCTCTTTTGCCCTAAACCAAAAATTTCATCTCTCTTTTCCCTCTTCCCGTGTCTCTCTCTCTCTGGTGAGTTTTTCTTCTCTCCTTTCTCCGATTCATATTTTCTCGCAATTTCTTCAATTTCACATTGATTACTCTTCAGTTTTTTTCGGCGGTTTTGAAAAAATGAGTTTTTGGTTTCGGTCGGTTAATCATTGTCTTATTCGATGCCTCCTCTCCCGTAGAATGGGAAGGTCGCCATCGCCACGTCGTGTTGCATTTCTTTTCGGGAGAGATCTATGCCATTCATTAAGCTTTTCTTAATTTTTTGGGAAAATCCTCGTGGTGGGTCCTTTGCAAATTTGGGGATTCAATTTTCTCCAGCCACCTATCTATTTGTGCAAATAATAACAATTTGGTGTTGATTTTTGGGGATAAAAGTTTTCATTGTTCATCGTTTTTTCTCATGATTTCTGGGGGAAGAGAAGAGATTATTCCATCCTAAAAAATCATCTTTTTTCATTGTTGGAGGTGGGATCCTCATGATTTTAGATTCAAAGGTGTTTAAATGAATATAGATGTTTGACTAGAAACGATTTCTTGCAGAGAAGCTCTTTTGGTGGGAGAAAGAGAGATTTGATTCTGACAAGTTATTAGTCCATTGAGGTCGGGCTGTCAAGTTTTGACAGCCCGAGTTTGAAGCTTCCAGGTAATTTACAGCTTGTCCCTACAATCTTGGAGTCTTACACGCGTTTTAAACATGTGTGTTTGTTTATGTGTGTGTGTTTTTGTGTCTATACTTATTACAAATCTATCTCTTCTTATATAACAGGACTCTTTTTCTACTAATGAGATTGGTATGCTAAATTTGGAGTATATTGGATTAGATTGTGGTTATCATGGGTTCTTTGTCTGGGATCATTCAACGGCCACTTGTTGCTGCTGCTGCTGTTATTGCCGCTTCTGTGTCTGCAGATGTCTCTGAGAGGTTCTCATCTTTTAGATCACTTGTTCGAGGTTCTGAATCAGAACAGATTGCTCCTTCCGTGTCTGGTTCACTTCAGGATGAAAGGTCCTTGTGGGTTTCTCAAGTCTCGGCTTCCAAGCTCGGGGATTTATCTTTTGTGTCGAGGATTCATGTTCCTGTACCAAATGTTGATCTCTTAGCTTCTAATCCCAGCTGTAGTCTCGCTACTTCTGTTACTTCTCTGTCCGCTCTTCGTAGTGTTTATCAGTCTGCAGAATTGGCTAAGGCTTCGAAACCATCTGCATTCACAATCGGGGCCTCGCTGGTGGTTCCTGATGTCTCCTATAGATGGCATTTGCCTGAGCCGAATGCAATCGATCTGTCTGGTTCCTCGAGCTGTGCGATGGAGAAGAATAGAACTGTTGTGGTTTTGCTTGGATGGCTTGGATCGAAGCAGAAGCATCTGAAGAAATATGCGGATTGGTATACTTCAAGGGGTTACCATGTCATTACATTTACTCTTCCCATGAATGAGATTATGAGTTATCAAGTTGGAGGAAAAGCAGAGAAGAACATCGAGTTGTTGGTTAATCACTTGGCTGATTGGTTGGATGAAGAGCAAAAGAAAAATCTCGTCTTTCACACCTTCAGCAACACCGGGTGGTTAACGTGAGTTCTATATCTCCAGTTTTTTCATGTGTTTACGTAATGTGGTTTCACATTTCACTCAGCGAATTTCCGATTTTTTTGTATATGCAGATATGGAGCTATTTTAGAAAAGTTTCAGAAGCAAGATTCATCATTGATGGGAAGGGTTAAAGGTTGCATAGTGGACTCAGCTCCTGTTGCTGATGCAGATCCTACGGTAAGCGATGGTTCTTGCATTCATAGCTATGTTTATACGGTTATTCAGCCTTGACTTGTGCTAAAGCATTAGGCTAGGATACCTGATTTGTTAGACGCTGACGGGGATATTCTTTTCATAGATTTCTATTCGTTTGAACTTTCTGGGTACTAATTTGGCATGTAAAAACAGGTATGGGCGTCAGGTTTCTCAGCAGCGTTCTTGAAGAAAAACAGCGTAGCCACTAAAGGATCTGCGAGCTCGTCAAATGAGTTAAACATAGGAGCAAGAAATAACGGTATAAACTTCTCCCAGCCTAAACCCGGTGCAACAGAAACAGCTCTGCTTTTGGTTCTTGAAAAGTTCTTTGCGGTGATTCTAAATCTTCCCAAAGTAAACAGGTAAGCTCTTAAAACAAATAAACCTTCCTTTTGTCACACATTCCTAAACCCAAATCCCATGATTTCACATCAACAAACTTGTGTTATATTATCATTACAGGAGACTTGCTGATGTTCTAGACACTTTATCATCAGCACAACCAAGATGTCCACAACTATACATTTACAGCTCTGCAGATAGAGTTATACCCGCAGAACAAGTTGAATCATTCATTGTAGAACAGAGGAAAGCTGGACACGAGGTCCGTGCTTGCAACTTCATATCTTCACCTCATGTAGACCATTTCCGGAGTAACCCAGAACTGTATACAGCTGAGCTCAACCATTTCATGGACAACTTTGTCCTTTCTTGCTGCAACCATTCTTCATAGCGACTTCCACAAGTGTTGGTGTCGCTAACCTTTTTTGGGGTCATTTTTAACTCTATACAAAAAAAAAAGAAAAAAGTTACAGATTGATGATTTTTTTTGGTTTGGATAGGTCTATAGATTCAAATTCATTCCTTTGTAAATGGTTGGATATTGTACATTTAGGAGAATGAGAAGATTCAAGAAAGTGACGGTCCTTGTCCTTTGTATTGGAAATTTGGGTCCTTTGTTATTTGTTCAAAGAGGGTTGTTTAAACCTCAATCATAAAGTATTTGGCACTTTCCGTAATTTTCAGAATTATGAGGGATTTTTAACCAATAGACGCTGGTTCGTCAACGATTGCGTTTGACAAACGCAAAAGTGTGATTTGCGTTTGAAGCGGCAGAGATCGATCTGGGATTTGGGTCGAGATCTTTTTTTTTTTCTTTTGCCGTATGTGTCATTTTGTGGAACTCGAACCTCTCATTCTCTCTTTCATCTCCTCCTCTTACGTAACCCTAACGAAGTTGAAGATTCTCTGGTAGATCTATCTTGATTCGATTCGATTCTTCTCTTTTTCCCAGAAAAGTCGCTATTGAAATCGAACGAAAGAGTTAGTTTTTTACCAGTCAGAGGTATATAGATAGGGTTATGGATTTGGATCAATGGATTTCCAAGGTTAAAGATGGTCAGCATCTCTCCGAAGACGAGCTTCAGCTTCTCTGCGAATACGTACGCCTTCTTCTTCTTCTTCTTACTTGATTTCTACTCTGAATGAATGATTTCTTCTCTGGGTCGATTGAGGTTTAGGAGCTTCTTGTGATGTCCTCTGCTTGGTTTTATGTGTGTATATCTTGGTGGAACATGACTTTGAATCTGGTCTCTACCTATAGTGATTTTAGGGGTTTTCTTTCTTTTCAACTATGGATGTATCAATTTTGTAGTTTAGATACCATTTCATGGTCTCCTTTCTCAGCGATTATGAATCATAGTGTTAACAAGAAGATGTTTATAATGTTATACAGGTGAAAGAGATTCTGATTGAGGAGTCTAACGTACAGCCTGTAAACAGTCCAGTCACCGTGTGTGGTGATATCCATGGCCAGTTTCATGATCTAATGAAGCTTTTTCAGACTGGAGGTCATGTTCCCGACACCAATTACATTTTTATGGTACAGAGTTTTTCTTTTTGTGGTGTCTCCTGTCTCGTATGACATATTGATATGAAATTATAAATACATCATAATCTGCTGTGGGAAATTCGCAGGGGGACTTTGTGGATAGAGGTTACAACAGTCTTGAAGTCTTCACTATTCTTTTACTTCTTAAAGCTAGGTAAGTTGTTCATAAATGTTCTGGAGATTCCTGTCATCATTGAATCTTGCCTTTAAGATTCTTTTGTTCGTGCTTAATACAAACTTATTGTTTATTAAGAAAGCAATTTATCTTGACAATTATTTTATCTTTCTTTGGAAGAAATAGTCCCAATAACGTATTGCATTCAAAATTAGTCCAAACGAGAATGAGATTGTTTCTCAAGCATCTCATGTTTCTCTGTTCTTAGATTTTGGAAAGCTACTAAATGATTTCTATGCTCGTTCACTCTGTATATATTAGTTTTCTTGAGAATGATACTTAAGGTGTAGAATCCATTGTTCTTCTGGAAGAATGATATTTCTAGCTTTTTTTTGCTCTGGTAATGAAGTGTTTTTTTATTCTAATATGTAGATATCCAGCCAATATTACACTTCTGCGTGGAAATCATGAAAGTAGGCAGCTAACGCAGGTATGTGTTATTCTGTTCCGCTTATATCTATTACACTTTTCACACTGTTCCTAGAAGGTAAGCAATGTTGATTATCTTCTCGTTGTTATAGCAGGTTTTTGAAAGTTCTGATTTTTTACATGTCAGATGTAGACATCGATGTTAGCTAAGATGCATTTTATGTGAATCGAGTGTTGGAAAGCTAATTTCAGAAGGTGCTTCATATAGTACCAGTCTCCTTTTTAGCATGTGTGTTATCCTTAGTACTCTAGTTGATACATAGGCTTTTAAGGAAGAAAGTGTAGTGATAATTTTGTATTTAACGCACTCCTGGCAAACCTTTAATAAGACTTAGTCTGCAATCATACCTCTTAAATGCAATTCAAGTACGTATTCCTTGAATCTGCGGACAAGATGATCAAAATTTTACATGGATTCTCGACGTTGGATACTCCTTTATAACACAGAACCATTTGATTTAATGTTTTTTTAGGTGTATGGTTTCTATGACGAATGCCAGAGGAAGTATGGTAACGCTAATGCGTGGCGATATTGCACAGATGTTTTTGACTATCTTACCCTGTCAGCTATTATAGATGGCACAGTAAGTAATTTCTTCTGCAACTTGGCATTGTTGATGAGAACGCATATAACTGGTTGTTATACTAAAATAATGTTTGCTTTGTCTAGGTTCTATGTGTTCATGGTGGCCTTTCTCCGGATGTCCGGACAATTGACCAGGTTAAACTCTGCTTTTATTGCTTGTTGCTTTCACCCGTCAAGTATGCTTCTAGCTTGGCATGTTATTAAGGTCTTCCACTCACTTAGATTTACTGTGGGCTCTAGATAAGACTGATCGAGCGAAATTGCGAAATTCCTCATGAAGGGCCCTTTTGCGATCTTATGTGGAGTGATCCTGAAGATATTGAAACATGGGCGGTTAGTCCACGTGGAGCTGGTTGGCTTTTCGGATCCAGGGTTACCACTGAGGTATGTTTTCTTTCTCAAAATCTGGAATTGATACTGTAACTAAGAAACTAATTTCACATCTCTGATCTTTGGTTTTGGCTTCTTGTGCAGTTTAACCATATCAACAAGCTTGATCTAGTATGCCGCGCGCACCAGCTTGTACAAGAAGGTCTTAAGTACATGTTCCAAGATAAAGGCCTTGTAACTGTGAGTGTCCTACTTCTAATGAATTGATATTTTTTTTATACTGGACGTTTGAAACTCTGCTTGATGATGTCATTTTGTTTTGTTTGTGAAGGTGTGGTCTGCACCGAATTACTGTTACCGCTGTGGCAATGTCGCTTCTATATTGAGTTTCAATGACAACATGGTGAGCCATCTCTTTAGTTTTTCCTAAGCGAATACTCGAATTTTCTCTATTCGTGCATATCCATGCCACCTCCTCTCTCAACAAGAAGGGATTCTATTAATTCAGTGATTTTAATCATTTCTTTTGATATTCTGCCCTCTTTCAACACATACACACGTTGATTTGCTACGTGCTTTTTGAAGTAAGGGATCTAGGAAGATTATAGAAAGTAGTTTAGAGAAATTCAGATAAAGTAGTAAGCCTTGTGCAATGAGGTTTGAGTATCTGCGTTAGCCAGAGATTATGTTTCTGCATTTGTTGTGGATTTTCATTGACCATAGATTCAAGCTCTTTGTGCTACTAGGATCCTGCATGGGTTAGTGATGAAATCGATTGAAATGTTTGTATTACCAGGAAAGGGAAGTGAAGTTCTTCACAGAGACAGAAGAGAACAATCAAATGAGAGGGCCAAGGACTGGAGTTCCGTATTTCCTATGAAGAATCACACTATTATATTTGCTGTGATGATGAAGCCATTGCTGCCATTGGCAATATGTTCAGTGTTGAAAAGGTTAATATATAATTATATATATTATCTACTGATGGGTTTCACTTACTATCATTATTTTTGTCCTTTAGGTTACGTTTTCCTTGTGAAAGTTATAAGTCAAACACTTTTGGTAATAGTTTTAGTCATTTTGAGTATCTCTACTCATGATTCTCTGCTTTCTTTCTTTTCCTCCCAATCTTTCTTCTGTAATGTTTTTATCATTGTTCACTTGCACTGTTTCCTCTGCTTTTTGTTGTTGTTGTGAAGATGACATTAATTCTAAAATAATCAAACATCGTTACAAATTGGACAGTATCGCAACAATAAATGAATACCTGTTGGTCTTAAGCTATTTAATCATTTCATTCGGCTTTTGATGTGATGCCTTGCAGGTTGATGATCCATATTGTTGTTTTAACTTTTAAGTAATGGAGATAGTAGTTCTTAAAAAAAAAAAAAGGTATTATATACAGTCATGAATGTGGTAAAATGAATTGCAAGTTTTAATTTGTAATTATCAGTTAATTATTCTTCACCATAAAACTACACTTCGAAAGGAACTCTCTCGGAACCTTATTTTCTCTCTCGCGAAGACCAACTCGCCCTAGCCGCCGTCAAGCTTCTCCTTTTGATTTGACCTCTCCGGCCACCGGCGCTTCTCGCCGGAGTCGTGAGAGGGCCGTCCGTGGTTTGTTCTTCCTTGCGTCTTTAGTTTCGGAGCCATTCCCAGCCCTCCTCTGGCGGATCTAGTTACAAAAGTTTCGGAACGGCTTAGGTTTGTGTCTTCTTCCGATCTCGGCAAGATCTTCCCTGAGAATCGTCTCCTTTTGGCTCGTGTTGGTGCGCTGCGAATTGTCCTATCTCGTCGGTTGCTTTGTTGTGCGTATTTGCAGATCTGGTTTTTGCCCGTTGGCGTCCGATGTTGATACACGATGCGTTAGCTTCTAATGCGGCCGAGATGTTCTTGCCTCCTCTACGGTATCATCTGACTTTTGTTTTCTTTCGCCCATGGGATTGCTGCTTCTGGTCTCTGGTTTTGTGATTTTGGGTGGTACAAATCTTTGGTTTTGGCAGTTTTAGAAAGTGTGTAGGTCAGTTTAGGCTGCCTCGCTCTCCTTTCTCTTGCTGTTAGCCCGAAGCTTTGGTCATAGCTTGCTGGCGCTCTTTTGGTTCCGTGATTTTGTTGAACTTACTTTAGCCCTTTGGTGAGCTTTATGTGATCTCTCCGGTTCGATCGTGTGCTTCTCTCATCTGAGTGTAGTATCTTCCGGTTTGAGGTTTGTTTCGCTCCTTGTCTATACACTCAAGACCTGATCGAGGTCTGGTCAGTTCATGACTTCTAACGAGGCGTCTCCTAGTCGTTGTATACGACATCGCCGCTTCTGGAAGATTTGTGGGATTTGGTTTATGTGTCTCATGTTTGTCTTGCCGGAATAGAAGTTTAGGTTCATCTGCTTTGAGAGGTACCTTGGCTTCACAATAGGAGGTTTCGTTAACTGCAAGATGGACGCATGTTGTCCTTTGTGGCTAGCTTTGCTCACATCGGTGTTGGAGTAAGTTTGGCATGTCCTTTTTTTTCCTTCTGAGCTTTAGTTTACGAGTTTGTCCAATGTTTCGTCCGGTGGTTTGTTCACTCGGTTTTTGTTAGTGTCCCTGTGTTTTAGGGCATCTCTTCCCTTTGTTGGGCTTTCGCTTCCCTCTTTTGGGCTTTCGCTTCCCTCTTTTGGGCTTTTAGACTCCGGGGATATTTATGTCTTCCGCCGGCTTAGTTTCCGAAAGAGTTTCGACTCTTGTCGGTCTTGTATTTCAAAACCGCATTCTACCTTCGTATAATATAATGGAATCATTCAGACGAAAAAAAAAAAAAAAGTTATGAATATGTTTTTGCTTAAAATTCATAAGAACTTCAATAAAAGTTATTAAGTTGCATGATTGTATTATTTAGAAAAACAATTAACTCTTTTTTATTACAAAAGAAGTGGGGAAGTTGTTGTTCTGTTTGTTGATGAACAACAAATCAACGGCTCAAAATCAATGTTGCTGGGTCATCGAATCAATCATAAAATATTAACCTGGTCACTGGTTTTTTTTAGAAGTCATTGTTTAGTCATTTTGTTTGGTTTTTTTTTTTGATTTTTCGGTCCTTTAAATAAAAAGGTTTATCCTCCATGGTCCATGCTGGAGAAGCGATCATCATCAACAAGAAAGAGAGTGATAGACAAAATGGGTTCATCATCATCTCCATCCCCAAACGACGCCGTACTTGAATCAGCCCGGCCCTTTCTCCGAGGAGAGCTAGAGAAGATCGACCCCAAACTTCCGTCGTTAATCGCCGTCCTGAAAAGCGTGGGTGCCGGCGAGTGTTGGCACAAACACGGAAGCTTCCTAGATCACTTGATCGATATCTACAAGATCCTCAAGCTATGGAAAGCTCCTGAATCCGTCTGCCTCTGTGGTCTATTTCACTCTGCTTACTCCAATTCCTATGTCAATTTAGCCATTTTCGATCCTTCCACTGGTCGTGAAGTCGTTCGTGATCATGTCGGTGAAGCTGCTGAGTCGTTGATCCATCTCTTTTGCGTTGTACCGAGACAAACTCTGATTCACGACGATCTTTTGTTTAAGTACTCTGATCGTGAGCTCGTTGAGCATCTTGATTGTTCCGAGGTTTCGTTGAGGAACGCAAAGGAGAAAGGGGTCTTTGATGGAGATGAAGAGTGGAGGAAGAAGATTAATGGTTTGGTTCCTGAGAATGGTGTTGTTGTCAAACATATCAAGACAGGTGAAGAAATCGTTGTTTCGAGGAGAGTTGTTGGTGTTTTCTTGCTAATGACAATGGCGGATTTTAGTGATCAGCTTTTTGGGTTTCAAGATGAGCTGTTCTGTAATCATGATGGGAGACTTGAGTTTAGAGGGAACAACGTGACTGCGTTGTGGCCTGGGAATGGGAAACCTGGACTGTGGTTGAATTCAAATTCGAGGATGGGAGCGATTTATAGTTTGATTGTGAGAGAAGAGGAGATTTTGATGGAGGAGAGGAGAAGGGCTTTTGGTTCTGGGTTTGAAGTGAGAAAAGAGAGAGATGAGGACATAGAGCTAGTTGTGCCTCCAGTTTTCAGCTTCTGCACCAAGGTATGATTCAGATTCCAACAGTGTGGTATTCTTAATTAGCTAAATTGGTTATGTTTCATGTCATGATCATCGTTGTTGTTGTGTCTAGGATTGTATCTTCTTTCATTTGTTAGCTTTCACACTTCTTGGTAGGAACAAGAGTTTGAGTTGTTATCAAAGATATAGTTAAGCTTTTAGAGTGTTTTGATAGCCACATATATAATGGACCAGGTATTGGATGCAAAAGAGCAGATAGAAGCAAGGGAGATGTACTGGGAAGTTGTGAGCAGTGACACAAGCAAAGAAGGGTACTTGGAGAGAGCAGAGGAGAGATTGTTGGGTTGTATTGAGAAGAACCCAGTTGTGGGAGAGCCACATGTGTTGTTGAGTCAAGTGTACTTGGGAAAGAAGAGATTCAAAGAAGCAGAGAGAGAAGCAGAGAAAGGGCTTCTTCTGCTCTTGCAATGGGGAAGTCCTTGGGACAAGAGAATGTCATGGGAAGGTTGGATTGCTTGGGTTAGGGTTCTTCTCATGAAATCACAGGATCAATCTTGGCCTGATGTTTCTTGGGGTATCTTAAACTTGGGTCTTGTGCGCTAATAAGATTGGTGTTCACAACTTCCACATCCTTAATAATCACAAAGATAATGTTTAATAAGAGATTAATAAAGGAATCCATGTATGTAGGTAGATTAAGTCTTCTTGGCATTGGTATGTATGAAATATTAGTAAACCTTTCGGTCACTTTTAAGAGTATTGTTTCACTCACAAAAGTCATCAGAATCCCTTATTCATCTCAACAAAGATAAAATTTCCTGCAGAATCGCAGATGGTTATGGCTTTGGATCAAGAAACTAAGCTAATGGGAGAAAGTCATCGTTAAGGGTCTCTTGGTTGTAGTCATTGTCATCTTTCTTTGCAATTATATTGGTTTGTGAGTTCTCCTAATCTTTATTTGCATTATGCCTAAGCTGCCTTTCGTGCTCTTTTAGTCGCAGCCTCTAAACCAATCTGCAAACAGCGTACACAGCGCGATTAAACGGTGGAAGACTGTCATTATCTTAGTACACAAATTAATCCAGATCATATTTCCAAATCTCTTGTTAGGAGAATTTGTTTGCCAATTCAAGGCCACAAATGAAAAGCTTATCTTCTCATTTCTTGTGATAACCGATTAAAAAGCTTACCTCATTGGAAATGAACATAAGAGGAAACACAAATGAAGAACTAGAAAATGATAAACCACTTTCATTGCATTTAAGCATCATTATTGATGGATTCTTAACTTTTGCTCTTAACATTATTTAAAACTAAAATTTTGCTTTTTGAAAGCTAAGATACAAAGAGAATATCTTAACAAAAATGTTCTCCAATGGTTGGTTCTTAAGAAAAAAAATTCAAATTTTTGCAAAACAATATTTTCCCATACAAACATTCATACAACATAACTCATACAAGCTTTGATATCAATCACTTTCACTAAACATGTCTCTTGCATGCTGCTTCTCTTCTTCTTCTCAATATCTCTTGACCAGAAGCTAATCTAACCCATTTGTAACCCCCAGTTTCCTGCTAAATGATTTTAAAATAATCAAGTAAGAATCCTTTCGTCGACAAAACCAAGTAACAAATACCACAGCAGCAACATAGTACACAATGCAGTAAATTCAACATAGTACACAATGCAGTACACAAAGGATAGATCCTCACATTTAGAAAGAGAACTGAGAGATTCAACACAAAACCATGTGAGGTTTTTGAGACACATAAAGACAATTGACAAAAAGATTCAAGCTTTAACACACAGCTCACATTCAAACAGAAATATAAGTTGACAAAAAAACTATAAACTTTGGTTCTAACAAACCAACGAGGCATTAAACCAGAATGATTAAAGCTCATGGGTGTTGACTAACCTGAATAATTAACTGCACATCATTGATATCTAGACCACGAGCAGCAACATTTGTTATGCATTATCACATATATGGTTCAATGTCAATGTTTCACCTCCTAAAGTGTAATGGATCAGACAAGAAAGTTTCATCAAAACAATGAGAAGATCAAAGAGAACATTACAAAGATCTCTTACTCTATGGATACAGTGCGGGACCTAATAATCTCAGAAAGAATTCAACAATTTTGCTTACTTTCACTTCTAAGAATCAAGTAAAAGCAAAACTCAGAAAATTGGGGAAGAATTTAACCTAATAATATCTGCTTCCTCTGAGATCTTCTTCTCTCTGTTCGATTCGACGAAAGCAGAACACGATTTGAAATACTTTCTGAGAATTGAATCAGCTAAATTATGTTGATTTGTTGATTTTTGCCGATGGAGAGACGAGAAAAAGAGAGAGAGAGAGAGTCGAGAAAGACAGAACACGGGACAAAAGTTTTCTCTTTAGCCTCAAAACATGCCACGTCATCGTCTCTTAACATCACAAATACCTCTTAACTAAGGAACGCTCTTAAGATATAACACCATTTTACATTTAATTTTAATCACAATAAAACCTAAGAACTGACTAAGAGACCATCGTTAAAGATGGGTAGTAACCTTTCCCTGTCTATTTGACTACACGGGGAAATCTACAAAGTTGCAGCTGTAGCAAGGGACAAGTCCAACTTGTACTTTAATACAGCTGCAACTTTAACAACTACTGATCAAAGAAAGACTCCCCACGGATAAAAGATAAATTTTTAATTATGACCACAGAAACTAAGAAAGAGTCCCCACGGAAAAAAGATAAAATTTTAATTATGACCACAGAAACTAAGCATGACCATAATCACAAAGTTTAATAGAACGAGTTAAGGTTCATCTCTCATCTATGTCATAGCTAGACGAATCAAAGGAAACTACAAGTACAAGGTTAAACACTCAGAGATGGGTAATAACCTTTCCCTGTCTATTTGACTACACATGGAGAAATCTACAAAGTTGCTGCTGTAGCACGGGACAAGTCCAACTTACCTGGATATAAGTTGCTCCAATTAGGGCACTCTGTCCAAGTTGAAGCTGAGCTCTGTAGTCAGATCCCTACATAAATGTGAGAAAAAAAAACAGTTCAAAAAACTGAATGAACCAAATACTGTATAAAAAGGTACATCACAAGGATAGGAAATCATTAAATACAGTGACTTTTCTTACCATGTAATCAAAGTTGAACATTGCTTGTGACTGATGTTGCTCATTTGTTATCTGGTAAAGAAAGTAAACAAAAATGACAAACATAATATTATAGAGAGAATGAGCGTAATATCCAGCTACACCTAGAATAAAAATATTGTCTAAAGTTGCGGTATTTACCTGAGCATTCGCCTTCACAACTAACTTCTCAGTTAAATCTGCTTTCACTCTCGCACTTAGTCTACCATCAGTCATTACCCTTCCGATGAGCAACAACTGCATATTTACTTTGCCATTTTCATATCTTTTTCATGACAATAAGAATATGAAAACAGCTGATTACCAAAAATATTACCTTTGGGTCATAATAATTGGCACCAAACTCATAATGGGCTGTTGGGATTTTGATAGTTTCAGATGACTGAGAAGGAATTTCGGTTGGCCCCATCATTACACTGTTTAAACATCAATATACATGCTTAGTGAAGAACCCAAATAAATGGATGGCACACCAATAACTAAAAACATAATCTACTACCTATGACTGAGAGAAAACTTCTGATTCAACGCCCTGGTAAAGTCAAAGCGTAAACCCTCAAAATTGTCCGACCTTAAAGACACTGCAAAGCAAAATCAAAGCAGTTAAAAAACAAAGAAAAGCAAAATCTAAATGCTTCACCACACATACTAAAACCTGACATTAAAACAGTAAGAAACCATTAAAATAAAGAAGTATGAACAAGTTTAGGAGCAGCTATTAAGACATCAGGAACTTTATGTGGCCACAAGCCATCTGAGAAATGAATTTTGACTAACTCTGACGCAGGCAAAATCAAAGAACAGAATCTAAAACCAGATCAATTGAACAATCTTAATCATATTATATCATTTCCACTGTATGTAAATCTCCTAAGACCACGAAACGATACATGGACAACAATTAGAAACGACTAAAGTGCTCTACTTTACCCAATTCAAACAAAAGAGAGCTAAATCTCAAAAAGGACAATACAATGCACTCAAAGCCACACTCATTTTATCTCCAGATCAAGAAACCCACAAATTGAGATATCAAGGAATACAATTTAAGTTAAAATGGAAGCAAAAGAAAGAAGACGATTAAGAAACTAGATCGGAAAATGGATTTAGAAAATACTGAACTGAGAGCTTCACGGTGGAGTTCCTCATAGGGAACAGGACAAGGGAGGTTGGAGTAATCGACTTTCTCATCGACTTTAATCTTTGCATCGACTTGTGCCGCCGTAAGAGGTGGGAAAATATCCGCCATCGCCGCCGCTACCGCTTTTGAATATCCTTTACGGCGACAAAATGGAAAGAAAAAGGAAGAAGAGTAAGCGAAGTAAGGGTTTTCTTCAGCTTGGAGGCGAGAGTCTTGGCAAGGGTTTTGTAATTGTACCACTTCTGGTTTTTTTCCGGTTTGGTCTTAATCTCGAACCGTGTCGGGGCCCCTCGTTCGCCGGTCTTGCACCTAAATTAATTCCAACCTCTTATAAATAAATACACACTAAAAAGAAAGGAACCCTAAAAGCAGATCTATTCAATCGTATCATCATGGACGGCGAAACATCCTTCACCCACGAAATCGACTACAATCCTAAACCCGAAGATGCTGGCACAATCAAAATCTATGCGAGTATTGTTGGCGTCGTTGATCATGTACTAACAACGTACCCAATTATATATCGTTCCGCCGACGATTACGATGCAGATTATCGTTCTGGTGGCAACCAACTTCTGAAAGACTTCTTGAAGGATGCTGGGATTGATACACAGGTCTTGTGTGACCTCTATTTATGTGTCGATGAAATTGTGTTTCTCTCGGGTCGGTATACTCCAGATTGTGCTTTGTCTGTAAGGATGACAATTGATCCCATTCCTCCTCAAATTGAGCAAGAAGAGGAGGTTGTTGCTGCGATTCCACCAGTCTCATGGAATCAGACCAATAATAGACCCGTAAGCAAGCTCGCTCTCATGTCCCTAGACCAGAAAATCTACGTCAAGAACAAGAATAGCTCTAAATGTGATGATGACACTTGCTCTATTTGTTTAGAGGAGTTTACTACCGGAAAAAGACTAGTTATCTTACCATGTGGCCACTTGTTTGATGCTTTTTGTGTCGCCGACTGGTTTAGTATCAACCATGTTTGTCCATTGTGCCGGTTCGAGTTGCCATATGAAACATGAAACCGCTGATTGATACAACTCCCTAGTGTTTTTATTTATCCTTTTTTTTTTTTTTTGGGCTAAAGTGTTTTTATTTATCTTACAAGTCAGTTTGTATTAAAATGACAAATTTTTCCATTAACTTGCCTTTCCATTGTTGGGTGTGTATACAGTCATTGACCTTTTTCGCTAGTGTTAATTCACCAAACAAACCTTTTGTCAAGGACCATGGCCATGGGTTTTATACTCTTTCACTAATTAAACTGTCAAATATAAAAAAATGAACCAAGGACAATCAGTCTTTGACACTTCTTACGCTATAATTACACTATTACAACTCCAATGCTCAACGTGGAAGAGGAAACATTTGATTACTTAGCTTTTATAAGCCTACAATCTCATACAAGAAAACTAATCTATGCACACTACTTTGTTCTTTGCATCTTGATGTTGAGATGGTAAAGTCCTGAGAGAGTTTTGTATAATATTGACGGCGAATAGCTTATTGCAGGCTTATTCTCAAGTAGGTTACAAGAAAAAGTATTAACGGCATAAGTCATCTTCTATATAGTTACTTTGCACTAGTAGTGGAATATGATTTCTATTTTTCGATGATCTCCCTAAATCTTTTCTTGATTGATAACAACAATGCAGGTCCTAGAAGTGGCCACGTCGTTACTATAGCAATGTATGCCAATAGCCAAATCGACTTCCGGCTGTATCTCGAAAGCTCATCCACCCTCTTCTTCAAAGGACCAAGTAAACTGCTATAAACTTGTGGAGTATTGACCTTATGTGGATGATTACTTGTCTTTTCATCAATTTGAGCACTATCCTCTTGTTCTGCATCAGCTCTTCTTGTGTCCACTTCACTTGCAGCAACAACCATCCTGTCTTCTCTAGCATCCACGAATGGTCCTTGATCAATCAAAGATCCCACTGGTTCGGGGATGATCTGCATCTGAAAGAATGATATGATGCATGTCTTAGAAATAGACTAGGAGTTGATGATGTCATGGAAATGGACTAAAACTCATTTCCCTCATACCTTCCGTCTTCTGTCTGCAAAGGGGCTGGAGAGTAGCACTTCAAAATATTCTTGCACAGCCCTTGCCCACCTATACATTACAGTTTCACATATTTTCGGTTACACTCCTAAGAGAAAGTCCTTGTGAGATGAGTATCTAAGAGCGTGGGTTTACGCAGATTGATTACCACATGCTTGTTGCTGTCATCCCTTCATAGTAAGCAAGATGACCACCATGTGTTGTGGTTGCCAGAACTATGTTTTGTTTGCCCTGCAAAATTTGAGACATTGGAATATCAGTTTCATGATACATGAAGACCCATCGCAGCGTGCTACTGAAAGATACAACCAAGAAACTCATCAAATTTTGCCAACAATGCCTAAAGCTGTTTCACTTCCTAATTTAGCCACGAATGAAACCCTCAATATAACAGAGAAACTACCAACTCCGTTTAACAGAAATATTACCAACTCAATTTACCAAAGGTAATCTTGTGAAAACTTCTATAGCACCCAAGAACAAAACCAACAACAAAACCAGATAAGAAAGACTTTCTAGAGCATCTCCTACTCTCCCATATGAAAACCAATTCCCCAAATAATCAGATCTTCTCAAATCCCCTAGTTAGACTACTGTTCCCTCGATCTAACTTCTGAATGTTAGTGAGAAGACGTGGCATTGCTTAACAGCTAAAGTACTCTTTCTGAAGACTTATCAGTGGCGGTACAAGGCTACAACATAGGAGAGCCGGTGTAAAACTGGGTCAACCAGAATTTTGATACAAATTAATCTAGTCCATCAGCTCTGGGGTCTTACCTACATTCATCCCAAGGAATAGCTTCCCTATTACAAACTGGATCGTCCAAAGCACTGGTACAAAGGAGTGGAACAGAGACATTTCCCACATATTGCGCACTGCTTGAACGTCTATAGTATGTATCAGTTGTCTGCATCATTAAAGATTGGATTTTCTACTGAAAGAGGGGATATATAAACAAAGGGTAAAGAGAATATGAAACAAACTGCACATCGAATTTGGCAACAAGTCTGGTGGCGTAGTTGTCAAACTCTCGAACTGAACGTGACTAAAACAAGACACAAGATGAATGGTGAATCTTTTAAGTCAATTTACTTGATTTGGCAAATAGATAGAAAATCAGAACCCACCTTCTTAATGCCTTCCCAATCGGCTATACGAGAAATGATGGAATGGTGCCTACAAGTACAACCATGTGTAAGGGAACAAGAAAGATGTAACTAAAGCAAGCAAAAGTAGGTAAGGATACAAAGTTAACAATACAAGACAAGAATTTAGACATATAATTGCGCGTAACCTTGTAGACCGATAGTAAGCATTCTGTCATACAATTTTTGCACGAGTTTGCGGTTGATAAATCGATCACATATCTGCAAAGAATATAATTTTAAACAGTAAGGCATGACGGTTTTCTTTTCTAGATTCTCTGGACCGATAATTATACTAGAAAAGACAATTTTTACACGGGTTTGCTTCATTCTCTTTTCCTTATACAACATTTTTTGACTAATATTGGAGTTTTTGATGTTGAGGCAGAAAGTCCTGTGAGATCTTTATATAGCATTGATGATAAATGGCAGAAACTCCTAAGTTTAAAGAAAATCCATTGCATATTCTGACAATCGCAGTTTTGAGTTACGAGTAACATAGGCATTAAAAAACATGACATAGCTAAAGCAAGCATTTCTAAATAAGCAGCAAAATTATTAGAGCAAAGAAGTCACCAAGTCAGCTACATCAGAAATCACCTTGGAATTGGAAGCTGTAAGTGACGAGGATGCTGGAAACTCCTTCCGAGAAATAAGATTATAAACTAAACATTATCCCACTGTAAAAATTTCAAACTGCACTGATCTCATTCTCAAAGTCAGTTTAGAAAGCAAATATACATATTGCAAAACAATAAGTCATAATACACAGATCCTAAGATCAATGAATCTTTCTTTTTTTTTTACTTTTTAGAAACAAAACAAACACCAATAGAAAACTCAATTACATGAACCACAACTCCTAGAAGTCTATATCACCTAAGCCACGATAACTCAAAAACATCCAAGTCACATTTTGTCCACCTCTATTGCCAAAGTAAAATCTTCATATCGCTTATGAATATCCATTTACAGGTTGACGCTCGATTTGATAATCTAGTAGTTTTTTGAAAGGTCAAGGAAGACTAAATGCAAGGTAAGATTCAGATTTAGCTATAACATCCAACAAAAAAAGACCCAGAAACTATATAGAGAAAACAATGGAGATGAATGTCAAAGAGAAAAAGATTTAACTTACACGAAGATATGCAGAGAGAGATGATTCCGTAGAACTTTTAGACTGGAGGGGAGACATTTGTGCTGGAGCAGTAAAGAGCTCAGTTTAGTTGACGAGAAACAAAACGAGTATCCATGCTGCTTCTATTAGCCTATTAGGAACCAATTGTAATGAAATAACTAGCTTTTACCTGGTCACAAAGATGGCAGTTGGATTGCCCGGAGATGGAGGATTCTGCGTCAGCAGTGAAGCATGTGGACCAGCTTTTGAAACATCATCAGGGTCACTTCACTTGCAGAATATATTTCAACCTCTTGCCGCTTGATCAAGTCCATGTTACTCTGAAGGACTTCAATCTCTCCAAAAGGCAACCTCAACTTTAGAGCCTGAGGGCCAATAGATATTGCCTCGTCCTTCTTAAATTTAAGGAAAGGCATGCAAAGCTTCTGAATTTGTTTAAAGTTTTCTGATTGTCCCTCCTTCTGCAATATCTCCCTTCGTTCTGCAAGTATCTCTGCATCAGGGGCAAAACGACAGGTTTGTTGGACAAATTTGCTTTGGCAGAATCTTGAGGCAGTGAGCTCTCCATCCATCGAGCTGCTCATTCAAATATATGAGGCCTTTTAACATCCCCTCTGGCACTGCTGTAACTTGAGCAGCTTTCTTAGCAGCCTTCTTGGAACCTAAGAGCTGTTTTTGTAGAAGCTTTCTCATTAAGACTATAGAATCTTGCAAATATTTGTTAGCACTCTTGAGAACCAAATCTGGCTCATCTGATGTAGGCCAGCCTGCTGTTACCACACAACCTTCCTTCTTAAAAAGTTTCCTCCATACATATTCTGCAAACTGGGGACGGATTGGTTCAATGAGGTGTGTTTGCACATCCATGAAGTGCAGTATCAAATCATGGTTCATACCGCCACTGCCACAAGAGAGTCCATACTCATCTCGTGCAGCTTGTAAGTCGTAAAACCCATTCTTAAGTGCCTCCCTAAACAAACAATCTTTGTACGCTTTTTCAGTCAATCTGATAGCAATGTTCATGTCATTTTCAAACACTTTATCAGCATATCACAACTCTCCTCCTGAGTTTCAGGAGCTTGCTTGATGGTATCATCTTGAGCAGAGAACACAGGAGGGTTACCAAACTGTTGAATCTCACGAGAAAGCTTATCCGCAGAAGCCTTAATTGGCATACCAGTACAGTGGAAACCAAAAGGAAGAAGCACATTGGCATCTCTTAGTCTATGGTAAGCAGAAGCAAAATCAACCTTAGAGAGTGAGAAGGCATGGCCAGTGTGTAGATAACCATTCATACAAGGGAAAGGAAAAGTGGAGAAGAACTTTTCTTCTGGCTTAGGAAGATTCTCACGAGATTCAGATTTGAATACTTCATCATCTTCCCACCATTTTCGAACTGCTACCTCAATTTCAAGAAGACGATCTCTCCTTGCGTAGCTTTTAGTTTCAGATGACGCCATTAAGTGACAGTGCCTGCCCCAAACATAAATCAAACCTCAGTTCTTGCATAAAGATGATCGAAACAAGAGCAATTTGAGTCGTCGAGTGAATTACAAAAACAAAATTGGAATCTCTCTTAGTGGAAAAGCAAAAGGAGAAGATTTGAATACCTCGGAGATAAAATTCCAGGAATCACGAATCGAGTCCACCACGAAAGCAATCGGAGAGACTGAGTCAGTGGGGATCCTCTTCTCAGTAGCAGTCCAAAGATTCAGAGTTTACCCCTTTTTTTTTTTTTTCCTTTCAATTTTAGAGATGTTGAGCCAATAATTTTACGAGTTAGTTAATTAATCAAATAAAATATTTCTACCAAAAAAAAAAAAAAAAATTAATCAAATAAAATACGAATACGAGAAATTATTTAAGTGTCATTTACATTTCTTTTTACATCCCTAATCTTTTACTCACCGGTGACGCGAATTTAGGGTTTACGTTGCGTTCCGTTAAGGTCAAAGAGATTTTAAAACAAAACCCTCCGTGTCTGAAGATCACGATACGAGTTCACCGCCGGAAACAACAAGAGGCGCGAGTCGATCAAGGTCAATTTTTTATATTTCTTCCCCGATCTTTTACAGGTTTTGATCATCGTCATGGCTTGACCAGAGTTCCATAGTTTTTGGAAGTGCCCATCATCTATTCTGTCTTTTAATTCTTTTTCAGATCATGGATTTGGAAAAACTACTTTCTGAATCACAAAAGCTTGCCCAAGAAGAATGTCATTCAGAAGTCAGTCCTCTGCATCTTGCGGCCACTTTGATTTCAGATAAAAATGGAATTTTTTTTCAAGCTATCACTAAGCTTGGAGGGGAAGGTGCTGTTTCATCAATTGAAAGGGCTCTTAAGAGAGCTTTAAAACAACAAATACAGTCTCAACCTCCTACACTCTCTTCTGATGTTGCACAAAAGAAGGGAAAGAAGAAGAAGAAACGCATTCTTGAAAACTCTGCAGTATTGTTGTTGAGAAATGGTGCCAAAAGTGTGGATGATTTGATTTTGGGTCTTCTTGAAGATAGATGTATCATGGAAGCCTTGAAAGAAACTGCTGTTCAACCGAAAATGTTGATGCGTGTGGTGAAACAACTCCGGGAACCAAATTTTCTGGCCCTGCACACATACGGAACAGACTTTGTGGCGACATCACTCCTCATCGACCCTGTCATCGGGAGAGAAACAGAGATCGATAACGTAATACGTGTTCTCTTAAAGAAGAATAAAAACAATCCTGTATTGGTTGGAGAACCCGGCGTTGGGAAAACTGCTGTCATTGAAGGGTTGGCTCAAAGGATACGCTTAGGAAATGTTCCAACACCTCTGCAAGGTATAAGAATCTTTGCTATTAGTTTAGTTGCATTAGCAGCGGGGACTGGGAATAGAGGTGATTATGAAGAGAGGCTGCTAGGTGTTATAAAAGAAGTAGAAGAAGCTAATGGGAATGTCGTCATGTTTTTTGATGAGATTCACATGCTCCTTGGTGCCGGTGGTGACGGTTCAAATGATGCTGCGAATATGCTCAAGCCCATGCTCGCTAGAGGTTCGTCTCGGTGCATTGGCGCAACAACTATTGAAGAATACCAAACCTACATTCAACGAGATGCCGCATTTGAAAGAAGATTCCAGAGAGTAAACGTGCGGGAGCCCACTATCTCTCAAACTATCGAAATACTTCGCGGGCTGAGAGACATGTACGAGAAATATCACAAAGTGAAGATAGAGGATATGGCTCTCGTGTTTGCCGCACAACTCTCTTCCCGATATATCACAGGTTTGATGGATTAGTCTGATTTTGTAGTAGTGTCTATTGATGTTCAGCTGATGTTTAACTCTTGTATTCTCGTGTGTTTTTGTGTAGATCGTTATTTTCCAGACAAGGCTATTGACGTGCTTGACAATGCATGTGTGAATGTTCGAGTGACACTCGAAGGGAGCTCTGTTGGACCGGCTAATATTTCTGAGGCGGTAAGCCAAATGAGTGGAATCCCGGTTTCTAAAATTGGCCGAACCGAGAAAGAGAATCTTATAGGCCTGGCAGAAAAGCTCCACGAGAGAGTGGTTGGACAAGATGAAGCAGTAAATGTGGTTGCTGATTCGATTCTGAGATCAAGGACCGGAATAGGAAGTCCAGGGAAACCGATTGGATCGTTTCTTTTCCTCGGGCCTACTGGAGTAGGCAAAACGGAGTTGGCCAAGGCTGTGGCCGAAATTCTGTTTCAGGGGGAGAAAGGACTCATCCGTATAGATATGACAGAGTATATGGAAGAACACACGGTTTCCAGACTCATTGGGGCACCACCGGGGTGAGCTTATTTCTCTAACCTTTACTTACTCCTCTCTCCAAATCAATCCATACTTACTCACTCGAGCAGCGTCTCTGATTTTTGTTTCTGCTTTTATTCAGGTATGTTGGCTATGAGAAAGGTGGACAGCTTACAGATGCTGTCCGTAAAAGACCGTACTGTGTCATACTCTTGGATGAGGCAGAGAAAGCCCACACAGCAGTTTTCAACACACTTCTTCAAGTGTTTGATGATGGCAGATTAACCGACGGGCAAGGACAGACTGTGGACTTCAAGAATGCAGTGATAATTATGACCTCAAATCTTGGTGCAGAGAAACTGGCCTTAGCCCTTAATAGTGAGATTTCAATGTCAGTTGCCCGGGGACGTGTGATGGAAGATGTCAAACGGTTTTTCAAACCTGAACTTCTGAATAGGCTGGACGGTGTAGTGATCTTTGAGCCTCTCTCTCACAAGGTGAGGAGGAAAGTAGCTGAGCGACAAATGAAATCACTTAAGGACCGGCTCATGCAAAAGGGCATCACTTTGGCATGGACAGATTCTACTGTCGACTTCATTTTAAAAAAGTGTCATGACCCGGTATGTAGTATGTAACAGTTACAGACAATGAGACACTAAACAACCAACTAACAAAAACTTTTTTTTTGTAAATGTGTAGGGGAATGGGGCGAGGCCCATCCAAAGGTACATCGAGAATATGATTGTCACCCATCTCTCTAGAATGATCGTTGAAGATGAAATTGGTGAGAACTCATGGGTATGCATCGATGGGAGTGACGCTTCGACTGAACTTATCTACCAAGTGAGAGACGAGAAGATGATTGATTAGATAGTTAGACTTTAGATGGAAATTGGAAAAATCATATAGATAGAGAATATTCTTTTTGATATGCATAGATAGAGAATATATACAAAAGCATAATTAGGCGAACTGATTTTTGTTTGACAATTTGTGACATATGAAAGAAAAAACTGATGTTGTTTTGCCATTTGGCAATGATTTTTTTGATAAAAATTTGGCATTGAAGATCTTTTGGATTTCTTCTAGCCATCTTTATCATGCTTGCTTACGCATGGTTCAAGCTGTTTTTTTTTTTTTTAATAACACTGAAGCATTCTTATGAATCAAGAGACTTGTAACCAAAGTAGAAAACCAAAATAGAAAGGAGGATACCAGTAGGTACCGCAAAGAGAAAGGTCAAAACAGGAGCTATAATTTGAGTCCAGCATAAGGAGCGTGATAAAGATGAGAAACGATCTCTTAATCTCTTAAAGGGCATAATCCCTATAAAACATATGGAAGGTAGAGATTGTACCCCAAAGCCTCACAAGGCTCAGTCCGATTCAAAGGTTGCTTTCGAATTAATGAGATTCTGACTTCCACTCGCCAACTGCTCCTACAAAACTTAAAATGTCTAAGAGTAAATGCCGAAACAGAGGATTGGTATGTGGGTGAAGAAGAAGAACCACATGGAGTGGATCAAGAGATTTGGAGTTCTTTTAAGAGATTTTTGAGCCAAAAGAGAGTGAATGAATCAAACAAGTCAAGGAAGAATCAAGAGAGAAGAAGAGGAGACAAAGAAAGATGATCCAAAGAGAGAATGACACTTGATCGACCAGCCGGTCGATGGGGTGGTCGATGGGAGCCAACAGCACCACACGGACGAAGAGCAATCGAGCGACCCATCGACCGATCAAAGGCTAGCTAAGCCGGACCGCAGGGCAGATTGATCGACCACTTGGTCGATTTACCGATCGATTGGACCCCATCCGTGACGACGTCCTAGCTCCCATCGACCAAGCCATCGGTTGATCACGCCCCAGGTAAGTTTTTCTTCTCCTTCTTTAAAAAAAAAAAAATTTAAACACAAAAAAATTTTAAACCCACGAGTCTTCCTCTCTTTTTTCTTTCTTCTTCTTCGTTTGGTTCTTCTTCCTTCTCTCACTCTTCACACACACACACAACTCTCTCAATTCTCACTTGTTTTTCAAAATTCAAAGTCCAAATTCACTTAATTTCTCCTCAAGATCACGTTTCTAGCTATCTCTTTCCCTAATTCACAAGGTAAGTTCTTATTTTCTCAATTCTCTTTAACTTCCCATAAGTTTCTAAAAATTAGAGTTTCTTGAAATCGGTCGATTAAGAGCTCGATTAGTAACTTTTGTGTTAGTTTAGGACTTTGTGATGCTTGGGTATGGATTGTTAGTGTTCAATTTGCAAGCTTTGTTGAGAAAAATTGAGTTTTGATGGTCTAGGGTTCATGGGTTAGAAAAGTGACGAATTGGTGAATTATTGTTGGGAGTTTGGGGCTTTTGATCCTCATGTCTCACTCTTGAGTTGCAATAGTGCTACCTTACTCTTTGGTTTCAATTCTCTACACTCATTACATTTTAAAGGTTTTCACAATTGGAAATTCTAAGTGTTCATGAGGATGTGAGTGTATTGTAGAATTTGAACATCAATTATGTATTGTTGTGTATTGTGGTTGTTGTTTAAGAGTTTAACAATGCTAATGGCTACCACTTTGTGTCTCGCTTAAGTGTCTTAGTGACAATTGAGACATGTACTAAAATGTCTTCTATACTCTTTCTCTTGTCACTAAATTTGTTTTGAGATTCTTATAGGCACAATGGCGGGTGGAACAAAATCACAACCCAAAAGGCAAAAGAAAACAACAACCGCAAATGAGACACAAACCACACCGGTTGTTCATTGGACCACGGAAGAGAAGATGGCTCGTCGCAAGATGTCACAAGTCATGCCACTCCCAACGCGTTTTGCAAACCGCGCAATTCTTGAGAGGATGGGAGTGCTTGATACATTTGATGAGCTTCTAAAGAAGATGGGACTTAGTTTTTTCGGGACAATGGATGTTCCCACGTTCCCATTGCCTACCTTGGACTTCTTGTTCACCATGCAATACACATTCGCGAACCCAAAAGTTCCAATAGCCAAAGAAGGGATCATCCACTTCAAGATCAAGAACATGGGGTACTCGATCTCTATTCCCGACCTTTGTGAGGCATATGGATTCGCCAACAACAACTCTATGTGTTTCCCACAATTCAAAGGGATTCACAAGCTTTGGAATGTGATTGCTAACGGGAACTTTGTTGGGAGCTCCGCCAAAATTAAGAGAGTCCGTCATCCCGTAATCCGCTACGTCTTGAAGCTCATTGCACATGCCTTCTTTGGGCGAAGTGACACGGCCGCCACTACGGTAACCGAGTTGTGCTTCCTCTTCCAAGGATTGAAAGACGTGTTATTGGATTTTGGAGAAGATGCGGATAGTGGAAAAGAGAAATGATCAAGAATTTGGAGAGTGGAAAAGGCCTTAATGTCTAAAAGTTTTGGGGTTTGATTAGGAAAAGAGATGGTGATTAAGAAAGGGTAGAAATAGGAGATTGACATCAAAGGGTGGGTAGAACAACAAGAGTTAAACTTTGTATGCGTAAATTGTTCTCGATCTTAGATAGATTTCACTATTGTCTAGCATTCCCTTTCTTGAGAGTAAGCCACCAAATCTTTAAATCTTTTCGAAACCACCTCAAAAGCTTTCACCCGAACCGATTGAGAATGATTCACTTGCCATTTGCGAGACCGCGCCAAAAACTTAAATGAATGTGAAAGAGATGTTTCAATTTGATTGCTAGTCTTTGCTAATAGTTAGGGGCTGAAATAGAGTTTTGCTATAAGATGAGTATGATGAAGTACAAAAGAGTATGATGTTTGATTTGAGCAACTTTGAACTATTTTCATGGACTTTGACTTGAACCCTTTGCTTGACATTTTGTGGTTATGAATCCCCGCCTTAAACTTTCTCCTCGAATCATTCATGTTTTTGTTTGCTTGTGGACAAACAAAGGATAAGTTTGGGGGAGTTGATATCTTGTGTTTTTAGTGTTTTAAACCCATTCATTCTATTCATTTTGATTTGCATTTAGTCTTGTTAGGTTGCATTTGCATTGCATTTTCCTCTCATTAGGTACCATGGAGTGGATCAAGAGATTTGGAGTTCTTTTAAGAGATTTTTGAGCCAAAAGAGAGTGAATGAATCAAACAAGTCAAGGAAGAATCAAGAGAGAAGAAGAGGAGACAAAGAAAGATGATCCAAAGAGAGAATGACACTTGATCGACCAGCCGGTCGATGGGGTGGTCGATGGGAGCCAACAGCACCACACGGACGAAGAGCAATCGAGCGACCCATCGACCGATCAAAGGCTAGCTAAGACGGACCGCAGGGCAGATTGATTGATCGACCACTTGGTCGATTGACCGATCGATTGGACCCCATCTGGTGTAAATTTAAGTATCTCCTCCCAGATGCCTTGATCGAACATCTGAGTCCAATCCAGGAATGTGAAGTCAAATGTAATAGTCAATCCAATACCTTTCTTCGAATTTGTACCATTTCATAAGTGTTTTTTGCAGCTTCCACAAGTAAACGGTTAGAAGGGTATTTCATATGTATAAGTCAATTTGTTATTTGGTTCATATACGTTTCCATGTTAGGTGCGTTATCAGGAGATAACAGCGGAAACATCGTATTTGGACAAAGTGTTGTCAGAAGGTGTGGACAGAACCACATAGTTAGCGGATGTCTCAATGCACAATATGTACCAAGCTATGAGGAGATAGTGCCATTTGATAGTTGTGGTCGGCGTTTTTGAAGTTAAAAGAAGAGAGTAGAAGAGTTAGAGTTGTGAAACAGTTAATTCTTTCATACTTGTTAACATTTCCCCCTGCATAAATGTCAGTATTAGTACAAAATTGTGTCTTATGTGAATCCAATCTTTTAAAACCACACAAACTTCTCAACGATTCTTAATATATATTCATTACATGGATCTTGCTCCTCTTATGTTTGAAAACTAGTGTCTATATTACCAAGTTTCGCGCCATTCCTCTTCTTTATAATTCGCGACCGCATAACAACATACCAAATCAACCACTGCCATAAAGATTATCCGATCCTCTGTTTGCTTCCTCGTATAGTCGTATGTTCTTGAACTCAGATGCTGAATCAACATTAGGATTTATCCCCGCAAGCTTCATTATGTTCTCAATCTCTTTCTCAACCTCACCCATCGATGGCCTCTCCTCTCCTTACGTCTCCACGCATCCATAGGTCATACAAGGTACTTGATTTATCCAGCTTCTTCTTCACCTCCATCACCACTAGTTCAGTTTTCACAATCGGGCTTTTACTGGTTAATAACTCCAGCATCAACACTCCAAACGCATACACATCGGTCTTCTTGGACAAATAGATTCTTCATGTAGTATTCGGGATTTATATAGCCCTAATTGCAGAGATATTGTGAGTTAAGATGTATGTGATAAAGAGAGAAATAAGCATGATTGATATCTCTACTTACCATGGTTCCTTTCATTTGAGTTGACTCATGAGCTTCTCCCACAAGTTTGGATAGGCCGAAATCTGCAACCTTTGCCGACAGACTTTCATCAAGTAGTATGTTGCTGGATTTAACGTCTCTGTGTATGATCGGAAGCATTCTCATGGAGATAAGCCACAACCCCTTGCTTGCACCAAGTGCTACTTTGAATCCTTCTTTCCCAATCCAGATGAATCCCACTCTTACCTGCATAATTGCGTACCCAAAATCTGGATTAAGAGTTTAGAACCCTAGAATCACCGAGAAGTTATTAACAATCGAAAAAGTAGTTCTCTTTCTTTTCTTTTCTTTTTTCATCAATCGAAAAAGTAGCCCTCTATGTTTGTTTCCTCTTTTGTCGAAACGAAACCATCTTCAAAAATTCCAGGAGAATAACGAAAACTCCAAAAATTAAATTAAAACACAGTTACTGGGCTTATTAGAGTAATGAAAACACGGTTACTCTCTTTCGGATATTGGGCCTTATTGGGCTTTCCTAAAACATTAAGACAATTAGACTAATTAGTGGCTTAATGATGAAACTAAACATAGTTTACGAAGGTGTAAGAGTTACACTGTCAGTCTGTCATGAATCAGTTTTTTGATGGCAATGAAAAAAAAGTTTTCTATATCAATTTAATTTTGGAAAAAATGTCATTTGAATCCCGAACTTTAATTATCGTCGAAAAAAAGTCTCAACTTTCGAAATGGTGAAATAAAATCTCAAACTCTTGTGGGATATCCAAATAAATCGCAAACTTTGTCTAATATTGCCAATTTAGGCACGAAGTTAAATCAATTCCGAGAACGGCTCGACGGATCTCTAATCTCTGACGCCTCTGTAATTTTTTGCGTGTTACTGTAAGCTTCTCTCGTTCGTTGTTTCTCTCGTTCGTGATTTCACTTTTAATTGCATGTCATGATCCCTAATCTCTCTTTTCTTTGTTTTGTGCAATGAAACTCAAGTAAGAACAAAAAGTATTTCATAAAAGGTTACTTAACATTTTCTATTGCCCCTAAATTTATTCTGGAAATCTCAAAACCCTCTACTAATCTTTAGTACCCCTCGTTTTAATGAAATGACGAAACTACCCCTTTGATATTTGTTAAATGAATTTTGAACGCCTTATTTGTACCTACCAATTATACTGGTATCCCCTAGTATTCTCTAGTATTACCCGGTATTACCCTAGTATTACTATCTCCTAGTAGTACCAATTATACCATGTTTACCTAGTATTAGCCTATTATGTGGTAATACCTAGATATACCCTAGTAATACTAGTTACACCCCGCTTAGTGGAATTCGAACCCTGGACGTGCGCGCGTGCGCGCGGAGCTCGCTACCATTGAGCTACTGTGTTTTCCGTTGAACACTTACCGATTTAATTATATTTAACCCTTAACACCCGAAAACAACCTTCATTAAGGGCAATTTTGTCTTTTTACCATTGAAGGAGTTTTGAGATTTTATTTTCCCTTATAAGGGCATCTCAGCCTCTGTCTCGACAAATATCCTTTATCTCTGATTTTGCTCCTGTAATTGTAAACCAAAAACCAAGCATACATTATTATAAATATATATGCTGCAATTAATATCTCTAAATGCATATTATAATTTTTTTAAATAAGTCACAATGAGTTTTTTTTTGTGGGAAGAGAAAGAATCAACGAACATTCGTTCGTGATGCTTGTAAAAAATTTGAAAATTAACAGTGGATAATGTATATTATATCGTAAGTATAAACATTTAATCTTATTTATGTAACTGACTAACCAGTGATCAAGAACATTAAAACGATAGAAACCGCAATGAAAGAATATGGAGATCTTCGAATATCCATTAGTTGTTTCTTTGAATTTTTTTTTTTAATCACTAATATCTTGTGAAGTGTTGATGTTTTTGAAGTAGTTCTAGAAATTTGAAGCTTCTTATATAGGCAAATTCTGAAATCTGAGTCATGCATATATCTATTAAAATGTGATTGTCTTTTGCCTTTTGGCAATAAATTGAGGTGTATTAAAAGATAGATTTGGAGTGATTTTTATTTAAATGACAAATCCTATGTTATTCAAACATAAATTATAATATGTATGTTAAAACTAAATGTTATTGGATTAGTGATTTGAAAATGAATAATCAAATCCACTGTTACGTAAAACATTTAGTGGATTTGAATGATTTAAGTGAGATTTAGGGGATTTCTTAGTTAAAAATAAAAAGATCCAAATCACATGGTTTTAGGTAAGATTTTATGAAATTTTAATAACAAATTTCCTAATTCACCAAAATCATTTCAAAACTCATTAAAACTCAAATCACTCTAAAATCTAAATTCATTGTTCAATACACTTAGTTTAAAATGATTTTAACTGTTTGTATAATAAATATTTATAACTGAACTAAACATGAATGAGTTTGCATGAGTACTGAACTTCTTTTAGGTATAAGAAAGATTATGATCATCTTTAACAAAGAGTAATTTAGGTTTGTTCGGTTGTGTGAGAGTAATGTTAAGTCTGTTTAGAGCTGATCTGTTTTTTTAGTTAATGTAATTTGCTATTGCCTTTCTTCTTTTTCATAAATTCGTCCTTGGTGGGAGATTGATATTTGGACCAGATGTTATGTGGTGCAGGTTTTTAGTAACCTTAACTTCAAGTTTCAAGTTTAAGACTTTAAGTATTTAATGTTTGAATTTGGTTTTTAGACATTATTATCTTTCATTATGTGTTATGACTTTAAGTGTTTAATGTTTGGACTTTGTAAGATTGAACTTCAACATGTCTCGGATTTACATTTGCAATTTAGGTAATTTCAAAATTATTTTTGAGTTTTTAGGGTTATTTAGGGTTAATTCGGTTTATTTCGGGTTAATTCGAATTATTAACCCGAACCGAACTGGATCCCATCAATAAAAATTTTGGTTTATTCTCGAGTTACAAATAATTTTACATAATCGATCTGAACTCAATTAAACCCAAACCGAATCCGAACCGAATACCATTCGGATTCTAAACAGTTCTATCCGAATAACCCGAAATCCGAATAAACGTCCAAACCCAAAACCGAACTCCCAGGCCAATTTTTAGGTGTATATTTGTATTCGGGTACCCACGGGTATTGGATTCGGTTCGAATTCGGTTCGAGTTTTTTTCGGGTAGGGGTCTAGGATCCATTCGTGTATTTTTAAAAATCGGTTCGGGTTCGGTTCGGATATTTTTTCGGGTTTTTCGGTTCCGGGTATTTTGCCCAGCCTATCTCTCTCTTTTACATAATTATCAATCACCTTTGTCTGCCACTTCATACTATCATGCTTTTGTGTCCCATTTTTGTATATGTCAAATGCTTAGATTTTAATGTCTTTTAAAATCAAAAATTGGATTTTGGGGTCTCGATTTCACTGACCCCATTCATGGCAATGTGTTTATGAGAAAAATAAACAACACTCAAATGAAAAATTGCAATTTTTAAAAACTCTCACATTCGTTATATATCCCAAAATAACAACGAAAAAAGAACACTTTTCAAATGTACAAAATATGGTAAGACCTCAATGTCACTTTTGTTTCCCTAATAAAACTGTTTTTTTTTGTTGTTGGAGAACTTGTGATAGCCTTCTGATCCAGTTTCCAAGCAATGACTCTGGCCAACACATTCTGCACCACAAATGAAAGCAGCAAAAGCGTTAGGCCAAACAAAGGTAAAGTGATTTGATTTTATTCAATGCATTGTAATGTAAACCTCATGGATCCAACAAAATCTGGTTCCAAAAACCCGACCACAAAGGTCTTCCCAAACCTGAAGTGTGATAAGTATCAACAAATCGATTAGCCAGAATCCGTAAATCAAGAAACAACTTTGTTGCTTATACGTGGTTGTGCAGTGCATCAATCAACTGCACCAATTTGATATTTCTCAAAAGATTTAACTAGTACAAACCTTAGACCGCCTCTACCCAACTAACTTATCGATGACCCAGAAGTCTCTTAAGTCCACTATTTATGCTAATCTCGGACTCTTATCTAGCTAGCAAACTAGTTCTTTAGTTATGCTCAAGTGGACATATGCAGTTGAAACTCTTATGCATTCCCGATGACTACTAATCAATTCCACCTCTTCAACATCTTTGAATCGAAAGAAAGAGATGCTATTACATTACCCAGCACAGGTATTTCTCATCATCACGCTAAGCTAGTGACAGTGAGAAACCTCATAAGATACCCATACAAGTTCTCCCCATGTTGCTATCCACATTGAAACTCTCATATCACATAGAAGAAATGCTAATCACCAAGTTGCTGAGAATATCACATGCAAAATCCAAAAAAAAAAAACAATTTGTAGAGAATTCAAGATAATAGATTACCACACAAAATCAAGGAACTCATATATGCACGATCTAGATAAGAGTTGCCTAATTTATGCTACAACAAACTATTTCTTCTCTACAAGGCTTTAAAGTAATCTAAGCTAAGTACTTTCAGTATCCTGTTGAGTCAAATTTCTTTAAACTACCTCTGACTCTAGCTCAGAAACCTGAAGATATCTAATTAGCAAGGAAATATATTGCTAACAGAGGGAGTAGCAAGAGCAAGAACGAACCAACAACTTTCAGTGCTATCTACAAGTTTGTGCCTATGAAACTCCAATTTCAAGCTATAAGATTATCGATGCAATGGCGCGAATAAAACTTTCCAGTAGATAACTACACATTCATAATGTTATTGCAACCACACAACCTATTATTTTGTACCTTTCACAATCTCCAGGTAATATCAGAGGATGAGTAGAAAAAGAGAGAGAAGACAATACAAACCTTAATCCAAATCTTCCCCCCTGGTCTCAAGATTACCTCCACTGGCACCAGGTGCTCCCGAGCCAGAACCAGGATCAGAACCAGAGCCATCTTGTCTCCTGAACGGCCAAGGAAGTTGTATACTAAACCTCGGCGTCTGCTGACCCTCAACCGATCCTTGTCCATCGCCACTCGCCTGAATTCCTTGAGTCCTGTTCTCATAGTCTGGATCATCAGTAGGCAACTCGAATCGACAAACCGGACATGAGTTATGCAATTGCAGCCATGGGAGTAAGCAGTCCTGATGAAAGACGTGCTTACAAGGCATTTGCTTAACATCGCTACCATCCTCAAACTCATCCATACACACGGCACACTGGTTCATCTCGGATTTCAACATATCCTTCGTTACCTTGACAGTAGGAAGCGCATCAATGGCGGATTTGGAAGCAGGAGGAGTTCCGTAACGATTAGGATCATTCTCAGCTAGCTGCTGAATCAGCTGCTCAAGACCTGGACCAAAGAAGTAGTCTCCGAAATTCCCAGGCATACGATTACCTGGATCCGAAGGATGATTCTCGATCACGAACTGAACGTGCGTACCGCTAGATCGCAGATTCTGGAGATGATTCTGAAGAAACGTAAACGGATCAAACGCGTCAGACTGGGGATTCTGCTGAGTGGAGCGAGCCTGTGGTTGCATCGACGGACCGAAGAAGCTCGAGCTCATCAAGTCCATGCCGGAAGGAGAGGCAGCGGAAGAGCCGAATAAGAGAGGGAGCAAGGTGGAGAAAGGATCAGCCATGGGGAAAAGGGAATCAACAGAGTTAGGGTTGAAATTGAGGGATGGATTAGGGTTAGGGTCTTCGCATTCTTCAAGAAACCCTTGGTTACAAATTGGACAAAAAGGATCAGCGGATGAGGAAATTGAGATTGTCACTGTGCGATTGCACTGGTAGCAGAAGAACATCTTGTCAGCCTCCGGTGCTGCTGCGGCGGAGCCAGTTGAATTTACGCCGGAAGACATGACGGATTCTGCGAAATTTTCAGAGCGCGAGAGAGACACGACGAAACAAAACGAGAGGACGAAGGAAGAAAAGAACCGTCAGAGGAGAGAGAGAAACAATTCTTTGGTATGTGGCCGATGATTTTAGAATTTGGGCTGAAGCCCATGTAAAAGCCCATTTATAGTCTTATGTAACTTCTTTTTTTGTTGACAAAAGTAAGGAATGTTATAAATTTAATAGAATTTTTTTGTCGATATCAGATTTATAAATTTTCATGGATTTAAAATAATTTTTTTATCTGTCAAAAAAAAAAAAAAAAAATTTTTTATTCATTTTATAGATTATAAGTCTAGGAAAATGTTACATTCTAATAGAAAATTTTAGATATTAAAATTCTATTTATTATTTTGTTAAAAGTATATATGAATATGTATTCAATAATTTATTAATGTTTTATAAAACCATGACTTTTTTAAATTGGTTGTGGAATCAACACAATTGGGTAATGTTGGATTTTCTTGTAAACCATGCAAAGGATAATCTTTTATCGTTTACAGAACTCGGGTCCTCTAATTTGACTTCATAGTGAGTTTTTTAATTCACAAAATCATCATGAGATCATATACTTTGTTTTCTTGCCTCTAAAACTTGTGGTTTTGCTTTAACTGCTAACGTGTAATATGAAAGTTGAATTCCAAAATTATATGATAGAAACTATAGATTTATGAATTATGTGGTGTGTTTTTGACTTTTTGGTATACAAATGTGAGTTTAGCATTCTCTTTGTCTCTCCTTTTTCCAAAAAAAAACAAAACAAAAACTGATGAATGTAAAGACTAAAGAAGCCCCAAATAAATTAAACATATAGACTTATAAGATGAATCAGGTAAACAAAATGTCTCGATAATTTTTCACGTAATTATTTCCTGAAAACAACCCAAATATCGACATATAACCGATCCAATTCCTCTTAATTGGTATTGTTATCATCATCATGTCCACCAATAATTGCATCATCTGGAATATACTTTTTCCAGAACCAATGTTGCTTCCAAACTCTTCCCATCTCTTCAATAGGAACACCTTTAGTCTCCGGCAACAAAAAGTAAATGAAAACCGTCATGATCGCAACCATGCTTGCAAAGAAGTAGAATAGACCAAACTTCATGTGACAAAGCATTGTCAAAAAGAATTGACCAATGAGGAAAGTGAAGAACATGTTGACCGAGACGTTGATGGCTTGTCCCGCTGGTCTAATCTCCAATGGACAGATTTCACTCGGTACTAACCATCCCAATGGACCCCATGACCATGCAAATCCTGCAACGTACACACATATGAAAGCAAGAATCCAGTCTGCTGTTGCTGGCGTCAAGGTTCCGGTTCCTGTGGTTCCAAATCTTGCACCGATGAAAGAACCAACAAGAAGCTGAAAAAAAAACATCGAATCATTAAGTCGTTTGATGATTAGGTATATATGGAAATGGTTTTGTTTCATTTGAATATGGTCCTGATTGTTATTTTTACCTGACAAATGAACATTTGAATGCCACCTTCGAGGAAAAGCAACCTTCTACCATATCGATCAACCGCGTAAATGGAGACAAAGGTTGAGAGCATGTTGACTACACCGGTTATAACAGCGGACATAAGAGCAGCATCATCACCAAAACCAAGAGTCTTGAAGAGAACAGGAGCGTAGAACATAATGACATTGATTCCAGTGATCTGTTGGAAAAAGGGAATCGCCGAGCAGAAGATTAAAGCTGGTCTGTATCTACTCTCCATGATGTTCTTCCATGGATATTCCACCTTTTTGGCAGCTTCAACAGCATCAATGAGATCTTGAAACTCATGGTCAACATTGTCAGCTCCACGTATCTTCTTCAACATCTGTTTTGCTTCCTCATTTTTGCCTCTCTCGAGCATCGAGTTTGGTGTATCGGGCAAAATGAATGATCCAATCACCATCACAACAGCTGGAACAGCTGCTAAACCTAAAGAAACCCTCCATCCATGTTGAGCCATCTTTGATGTTCCATAGTTTATCAGATTAGCCACCAAGATTCCAATCGTTATAGCCATCTGAAAACCGATGTTTAAAGCTCCTCTTATCTTCGCTGGAGCCATTTCCGATAGGTATACCGGAGTAGACTGCACATAAAAAGATTGAGATATTAACCTAAATTAAACCATAGAAATAGATGATTGATACGCAAGAAAGCAACATATTGACCTAAACCATAGAAATAGATGATTGATACACAAGAAAGCAACAAATGCCTCACGTGCCTGATTAGCAAATCCAACACCAACACCGAGCAAAAGTCTACCGATGATGAGCATTGCAACATTAACGGCAAATGCGTTGAAAAGTGCACCGATGAGGAAAGCAAGCCCACCGATAAACATAGAGACTTTACGTCCATGCTTCCTAGTGATAACCGAAGCCATAAAGGAAGCTACAAGAGCTGCGAGGTAGAGAGAAGAAGTGAACAGTTGGAGCATTTGGTTATCGAATTTGCAATAAGCCGTATCGTGCTTCGCCTTTTGCATCTGGCTCTCTACTTGAGGGAAGAACTTGGTAAGAAACTCCTCCATTGATGTAACTCCTCCTGAGATTCCAAGGTCATAACCAAAGAGGAGACCTCCCATGGCGGCCACAATACATGTAATGATAACGAATGCTGTGACTCCTCCTTCATAACTTCTTCCACCACCACCTCCTTCTGATACAAAAGCTCCTCCTGCCATTTTTTTGCTTTTGGTCTTAGAAGGAATCTTGTGGCTTAATTACAAAATGCACTTTGTGATCTTTTTAAATAGATCAATGTAGTAACCCTATAATTAGGTATTGTGGAATATTGCCTGTTGTGTTATAAAGTTTTATCTTATCTTTGTTTGACTTAGGATTAGGGGAAGTAATTAGTTGGTAACAGGAGTTGCTCAATGAAACCCAAGTTTCATGGAGGTTCTTGTCTGTGTTTGACTGTTTGTTAGACCGTTTCTTTTACAGACATTATTTATTTTCCTTATTTACCTTTTCATTTTCACATACAGATCAGATAATAGAAAGTGCTTGTCATGTAACAAATTCATAATTCTCTTTCAAAATCATAGAAACTTCTTGTCACGTACCAAATTCAAAATTCACACACACACACTCATGATCACATTCAGAAAATTTTGATACTATATAGATCAATTTGACTTTTTTAATAATGTTAAATCTCTTTCAACAAAAAATAATGTTATTTACAATGCATAAATTGAAAGAACTGGAAAACGTCGTAGCCTTGTAAGAAGTTTGAAGGCAATGAAATCAAATAGATTCAAAAAGAAATCTTCAGTTATCAGTTTCCACGAGCTCCATCATAGTCATAATTCATAATATGTAGGTCAATTTGATTTCCCATCAAAGTTTGAAGGTCTTATGTTTGGTGGGGAGTTTTTGACTCTGCTCATTAATGCACATCAGAAGTTGAATCATTTTTACTCTTTTTTTTTGGGAAATAATACTTTCACTAAATAGTTATATCAAACGATAATTTTTTGAAAATGTGTAATTACTTTTTCACAAAATTTGTTGTAAAAAAGAGCTGAAGAGGTACTTCAAATCATTGGAAAAATAAAATGGTTAGCCTCCCTTTGGATAAAACTGAAATATCTACTGATCGATGTATTCTTGTTTCTTGCTTAAAGCGTTAACATTCTTTTTCTCAAATAAAGATTCAAGGAAATGTTAAATAAGAAACCACTTTTTAATAATTTTGTTCTTTTTTTGTTTTATTTCTTTAGGCCCAAATAACAATTTCAACAAAGAGACAACAAAAAAGAAGAAAGAAGAAACTATGAAAGCTAAAAACAGAGCAGCTTTCTTTTAGGAAGTAAAAGGCATTTTTGACATTTATTCTTATTTCATCCCAATAATTATTCACTTTCTCTTTTCTCATAAATCTTTTTGCCCAAAGAAAACTTCATTCTTGATCATCATACGGACTTCTGTTGCATCTCAGCAGCACCCATGTTAACAGCTTCATCAGGAATAAACTTTCCCCAGAACCAATGTGCCTTCCACACTCTGTTCATCTCTTCGATTGGTACATTCTTTGTCTCAGGCAACATCAAGTAGATGAATACCGTCATTATGACAACAAAGAACGCGAAGAAGAAGAATAGTCCGAATTTCATGTGACAAAGCATAGTGAGGAAGAGCTGAGCCACAAGGAATGTGAAGAACATGTTGACCGAAACGTTTATGGCTTGAGCTGCTGAACGGATCTCTAGTGGAGATATCTCACTAGGAACCAACCATCCCAACGGTCCCCATGACCAGGCGAAACCCGCTACATAGATGCAGATCAGTGCCACGATTGCATTGGCATCTGATTTCCCTATGTTTCCTGTTCCAGCCACTCCGAATTTGACCCCAATCATGGCTCCAATAGCGATCTGTAATACACACCAATGTTTTGAGATATTGAGTGTCAATTAAGAAACGCATAGTAGGGTTAGGGTTAGGGTTTTTGTGTTACCTGAGAGATTAGCATCTGGATACCTCCTTGGAGGAACAAGACTCTTCTTCCAAACCTATCCACTGTGAAAACAGATACGAATGTACACAAGAGCTCGATGATACCCGTTACCATAGCTGATAGGAGGGAAGCTTTGCTACCGAACCCGAGGGTTTGGAACAAAACCGGGGCGTAGAAGGTAATGACATTGATTCCAGTAAGTTGTTGAAAGAAAGGAATGAAGCAAGTCATGATCAATTGGGGTCTGTAACGAGGAAGCAAGATGTTCTTCCATGGGTGTTTCACTTGCTTGGACTCCTCACTTGCATCAATGAGATCTTGAAATTCTTCATCGACTTCATTGGTTCCTCGGATGGACTGAAGCATTTGCTTGGCCTCTTCGGTGTAGCCACGTTCGATGAGAGAGTTCGGAGTGTCGGGAAGGATCAGAGCTCCGATCATGATCATAACTGCAGGGACACAAGCTAGACCGAGAGAGATTCTCCATCCGATGTTTCCTTTCATCTGTGCGGTGAAGTAATTGATGATCGTTGCAACCACAATACCAAAGATAATCGCTACTTGAAACCCGTTGTTGAAAGCTCCTCTTAGATTCGGAGGAGCCATTTCTGATAAATAAACAGGTACAGACTGAAACAAAAAGCAAACCAGTTAACTAAGCTGCAAGTGTTACTTCTTCATCAAGGAGCAGAAAAACGTTTTTAGAACTTACTTGATTGGCGAATCCGACTCCGAAACCGAGTAGAATACGACCAATGAGAAGCATAGCGATGTTTTGAGCAAAGCCGTTGAAGGCAGAGCCGATGAAGAAGGTGAAACCACCGAGGAACATCGACCATTTCCTTCCGAAAACTCGAGTAATGGTGGAGGCGAAGAGAGAAGATATCAAAGCCGCCACATACAGAGACGAAGTGAAGAGAGTGAGAAGCTGACTATCAAATCGACAGTACTCGTTCTCATGTGCGTTCTTCATCTTCTTGTAGACGTAAGGGAAGAACTCTTCCAAGAATGGCTCCATTGAGGTTACCCCTCCTACAAGCAATTAAAAAACCCTAATTAGTCACCGGAAAATTCCTTGACCAGATCAAAGAAGAACAAGACTTGAATCTGAGAAAAAAAACCTGAGATCCCGAGATCGTATCCGAAGATGAGACCACCAAAAGCACCGATGAAACATGTTACAAACACTTTCGGTGTCAGTTTGTAATTGTAGTTCCGAACACCCGGCGTTTGACTGACGAATCCTCCGGCCATTTCTCCGATTTGCAAAAAATCAAATAAAAGATTTGTTGACTTCTCTCTGTTTCAGACAGAGGAACAAACAGAGCAGATCTTTTTCTCTCAGATAATTAGTAGATCTGGTTCTCGAATTCAGACAGAGAAATCAAATGTAAGAAGAAGAAGAAGAAGACAAGATTTGATATTGAAAATGAAGAAGAGTTTAGTTGAAATTTATAGGATTCGACAAAAACTCAAAAAGAGGAGAAATTAACTGTCGGCTGACTTTGAGGTTTTAGAAGAAAAGAACAGCTGTTGTTCTTGTTCTTCCACTTGCCTATTCCTCTGGATCTTATCGGCTTCCATAAATCTCGTGTCTTTTTTTAGTTTCAAGAAAAAATAATTATCATAACGTTGTCTTTTTTGCTTAAAACGTAGATAATTAGTATTTATGACGAGGAATAATTTAATTACTCTTAGGATAGTTTACCAAATTAACCAAATTATTGGACTGCATAAATAAATAATTAACACACGAATAAGTCGCATTTTGTAAGATAAACACTCTTTTAGAACTACAATTTTGACTCAATTAAAGCTATTTTTAAGTTTATCTAGTCACTTTTTCCACAAGTGACAGTTATTTTAATTTGATGTTGTGGTACTGAAATGAGTAAACGCCCGCAAAACTCGGTCAATGGACAGAAAAGACCGCTACTAGTTTTAATTTTAGTATTTTAGATAAGATCTTTGATTTGATTTTTAAATTTGGTACAAAATCTGTTTTCAATATTCAAACTTTAAAAAGTAGTATGTTTTAGTTATTACTTTCCATCTTTTGACACTACAAAAAGTGGTATGAAATCTTCAATGTCTATCCAAAATTTGAGGCCATATTGATACCTTAATAACCTTTTTTCCCCGTGATAGGCTTTCCATTCACATGCATGGATCTATAATGAATGTAAAGTTTTTACATTATCCATGGAATGGGGACAAACTTAGTTTTTGAGAAAAACTAGATTTCTTGATATTTTAAGAGAGTATATTGTACGTCAAATTGACTATAAGATAATATTTATGTGTCAGAGGATATTTCAAACAATGATATTAAAACAGTTGGGCTATTATTGATTACGATGGATAGAAAAAGTTGACTACCACTACTTTTCTATATGTATAAATAATTATTTCGTAAATTAAACGTAGCTCCATACTTTTTATTCGTAGTCTAACGTTGCTTTCTACTCCTTTAGTTTACATTGGAAAGTCAAAACTCGCGTTCCATTATTTTCATGATGTTCCCATAAAATTTCGTCATTATAATGTCATATCGTTATCTTAGCGACGTTATTCATGTAAGGCTATATTAATAACGACGTTATATGGCTATATGCATACAAGGATATGTAATCTTCCCTATAAAATGGTGTGATATAATCTTATGTTTGCTACATAGAGTAATTAATGTGATTTGAATTAGTCACATTTTTCTTAGACTCATCAGATCTTGTCTCAGCACTGCGTTCTCATTAAGATCAGCAACTTGATACTGAATTGACCATCTTTTATATTTGATATATTATATTGAAGTACTAATTAGTTAGCTAGTGCTAATTGTTTACATGCCGATGGAAATTGTAATGTTATGCAAAATTTGTATAGCTAAGAGCCTAGCTAGAACAAGACAATTAGGTGTTCGTCGATCACATGCGTAAAGCCAACTTGGCTTTTAGATATTTGTTTGTTTGTATTGCAGATTTTTAAATTATACGTTCACTGAAAACTAAAAGTAAGAATAAAATAGAACAGGACTACAAAACATAAAGAGGAAGAACAAATTGAAAAACACAAGACAACTAAACACTCGTACATGTACAATATATATAAGGTTTTGATGTTACCTTACAACATAAATTTAATAATAATTAGGTACCTTAGCCGAAAATATACAATTAAGAAATAATGGGCTTTGGTGTTCTTTTTTTTAATAAGGTTTTGATGTTACTTAGTTTTGGTATTTAGTGATCCTTGACGGCTCTTAGCAATAATTCAACCATCCGTAAATAATTATTAACCAGGAAAAGCAAACGATCCACCAGTGTATAAGAAGTAAATATTCCTCTAATTTTGAGACAGCAAACTCGATTGTAAAACAAAAAAAGTTCGAACTATATTAACTAAATCACACACTAAAACTTGATTATTTATTTCTTATTTTGGAGAAGCGAATACAATTTTTTTATTCGAAGCTCCCAGATATAGCAGCAGGTTATCCAAAACTCGAAATCAATTAAAAGACCGACTAATAAATGTTATCATCTCGAAAAAAGACACATGTCATCCAAGATCACGTATGGCATATACACCCTAAAACATATGATCCGCCGCATATGGTATCCGACCTAATAACGCGCATTATAACTATCATGTGTTATATCATATTCACCGAAATCAATATGCAATCGGTAATCGGTTGCTCTATGCTTTGCAACTAACTAGACCCAACTTAAAACGTAATTTCCATGTCTATATATAAACCTGGATCATGTACAGATGTACTCTACAAACAATAGATCAAATTCTTACCAAAATATACATCGGAGAACAGTACTTAAAAACACCGCTTTCCGACCATTTTTCGACAAAAGGTTTAGATAATGTGGCCTTCCCAAGTTTCTCATAACCAGTCACATCTCGACATCGCCAATAAATTGCCTATAGAATTAGTAATCGTTATTTGCTTCCCGGAAGTTGAACTGCTGACCAGCAAATTACCCGAAAACCAGCGATATTTACAAAGTTCTTCAAAAACATTCCACTTTTAATCAGAAGAGTCATATACATTGCAACAAATGTTTCTGAGGCAAATTAAGTCTCTTGATAAGGGAATCAAATATTACCAAATTCTGATAGCTCAACTAGTTGACATACTTTGACCAAATGATATTTTTCCTCTTTTACCTATGCCACACTATGTGAAATGGAAGAAAATATCTACCAAATTCTGATAGGTTAACTAGTTAGCATATTTTCACCAATTATATTTTTACTCTTTCACCTATGTGAAAAAAAAAAGAAGAGGAACGACGGCGTATGGGTCCCGACAAAGATTTAACCGACAAGACATAAAATGCTTACACGACGACGAGAACATACACCCGTGGATCAAAGGCGGTGCGTCTCATCATATACTTTGGAAAGAAGAAATATCCAAACCAACCTCTATCTTCATATATATATACATACATAGACCGATCGAGCATTAATTAATTTCGTTAAGAGAGAACAACAAAAAGAGAGAACAATGTCGTCGTCGAGGGAGCTACAATACTTGGAGTACACATATAGGAACAACCGTCCCACAACGGGTCTCCTCAACTCCATCTTCATGACCACCGTCAACACGGCCGCTCGTTCTCTCGTCTCCGTCGCCTCCACCGCCTCTACACCGGAGATTCCTTCTAGGCGGTGGTCGGCTTCGGACCACCTCAGGTTCATGTCTATGATGATGACGTGGCTTACCCTTTGGATCCTTAGAGTTTTCTTGGACTATCTTCCTCTTCCTCTCATCTCTTCTTCTTCTTCTTCTTCTTCTTCTGCTTATTCTTATTCTTATCCTCCCTTTAGTTTCGCTTCGGGTCTTCTTACCACGGCGGCGGAGAACGCGTTGGTCCCGGCTAAGGCTTCCTCGTCGTCGTCCACATCATCAACGGCGTTGGTGAAGTACTCATCAGGGTCGTCGGATTTGGGTATGATGATTTGCGACGGCGTTGATGAGCCTTCCGTTAATTCTCTCGGTAGAGCACTTTGTCACGTAAGTTGTAATATCTAATTTTTTTTTCATTATTTAGTGTAACATTAACGTTTTCGTTGGACTGTATGTTTCAATATTTTCCACTTGTTTGCCTCGGTTCAACTAAGACATAATCATTTTATGCTGGCTTTGAGTTATATTTGTATAACTCGATCTTAATTGAATTAGCATGTTTTCTGTATAAAATTGAATATTATGTTGGAGCTTTCTATTTCTGGACACCACGAAGTTCCTAACGTGGACATTTAATCTCTGTAATTTCCACGTGGGTAACATGCATAGTGCCACGTCATACATGAAAAAAAAAAACAGAAAGGGAAGTTTAATCCATAGGCTCGATTAATTAACCAAAACACAGTTAATTACTTGATTATCATAGTTAGTTACCACCACACTTTGCATCTATTTGTATAGTTTATTGCGTATATGGATTCTATAATACATCTTAACATGTTTTCACGAGTAGGCATTAGCGCTCATGAACGAGATTCCAGTAACCTCAAGAAAATACCAATTTGCCATGGGAATGGCTGAGAAGATCATGGAAGACAACGCTCAGAGCGGCCACGTCGATTTACTCGACGTCAATAGAGCGGCCCTCGCTTCCTCCTTTGCACGCACCACTGCGCGTTTGCAGGACTGCTTGAAACGCTCTCGAACCGCAGACGAGCCCTTCGGTGGTTTGCCGCTGCGTGTGGTCAGCGCCCTCCCTCTAGGCGGCTACGTTGCCTCCTACGTGAGAGGGTTAAGTGCATGTATCAACACGGTCAGGTCCTTAGCGGACATGACTGGGAACTTGTTATCACAGAGTAGGAGGAGAGAGTCTACCGTGGTGAGAGCGGGTGGTATCCAAGAAAATGAGGCTGAACTAGCAGTCGAGAAGCTTGCGGAGGAGCTGCTGTGGATGACAGAGAAGCTTAGGCGTTACGGTGCGGTGGCAGAAGGGATTAAGCGGTGGAGCTACGCTTCTGGTTTAGCTTCCTTGTCTCTCACGGCTGCTCCCAGGGTTCAAGGCCTCATGGTTAAAATTTCGGGTAAAGTATATGTATTCAGTTTTGTTTTGGTTTGAAAATTTGCAGTTTGGTTTAATTTGTTTAGGAACTTCTGTTAAGTTCGGTTTTTATGCTCACTAATTCATAGCAAATTCATAGCATCTCGACATGATCCGCGGTTTTCTCACAAACTTTTATGATTTGCAGCGGTCTTAATTGGAGAGTTAGCAAGAGACAGCACACAAGTTCCAGGACAAGTGACATTCAGGCTCCTTGCAAACTGGCTACCACTGTTTAGTCACGCAAGGAACGGGCTAGCATTTCCCGTACTGACGGGTTATGAGAGAGTTGAGGTGGAACGAGCCATAGACAAAGCCATCTCGACTTTACCTGCATTGGACCAAGAAATCTTACTCACTAACTGGCTCCAAGATTTCTCAATCTCAGCCTCTGAGTGGCCCAATCTCCAGCCAGCATATGACCGTTGGTGCCACTCCACTCGCCAACTCTTCATGTAGACGACCAATACAATTAGTCATGATGGTCATGTTCCAAAGAGAACATGGATATGCTTGTCGTACTTTACTTTGCTACGAGTTTTGATAATACCTTCTGTGTCCACACATTTATCTTAGCCTCTTAGGTAATAAGGCAAGTTTCGATCTATTCAAAAGTTTCAGACCTACCAGGCTACCCCCACCCTTACGATGTTTCTCTGAGTCTCGGAATATCAAAGTTCTAGCTTATATGTTCTTTTCTTAGATCAAAAACCAGATTATCCTAGCTCTATCTCACAGTAGCATACGTGAGCATCAATGAAATATGCAAAAACTAAAAACGCTCGAGAATGTTCCAATCTTTGAGATTTTTTTAAAGGATCCAAGGAAATCTGATGATATTTTGTTTATAAAAAGTGTACAAACAGACAGCTAAGGTTTTGAAGTTCTTAGCTTATGATTCTTTCTGAATCTTTCTTCCTTTGCTCTCATCAGCCTTGTCCAGAGGTGGAAGTTGAAACTTCTGCACTGCATACGGGGCAAACCTGCAGAAGATTGTGTCAGTTTTGGCTTGTTAATGGAATTCCAAAAAGCTCCTTCGTACATGAATGTTGACAAAATTCTTCTTCCTAATTGTGATGAAAGCTGATGAGATGATTCACCATACTCTAGATAGTCTTCCTAATGAATTAACAAGTTCAAATATCTGCTTATTAGCAACAAAACCCCCTCAGTTTCAAAGATGCTGATGAACAAAATCGGGAAACACATAAATGCAATCCATAAACTCAACAAGTATGAGATAGTCTGTACTGACCATAAAGTTCCCTAACATCAACAGATACTATTTATGGAAATATCAGGTGCTGTGGCGGTTTTTCTAACGTGAATACATCTATCCTTAACAAAAACGGTATCTGTCAAGTGATAAAAACAGACTACAAACAGACTTCCTTCCTGCTTGAGTTTATCAGGTTCTACATACCTGACTACAATAACTATATACTTAAGCTTCTCTACAGGGTTATTTTCATAAAAGACATACCTTGTTTATCTTCAACCAGTTGTTTATGCACTCCGAGTGGTAAGAATGTTTGCATGGGAGCAGTATCAGGTCTTCGTCATCCTCATAGTCTAAACGACATATAACACATCTGCATCAAGCATCGGAAGAGTTAATTATCTAGGTACATGCACAAAATTGTCAATGGTTTACTTAATTGATTACAAAAAAGGCCTTACGACTCATTGGTTCCGTTCTGATTGTCTCCTTCTTTATATCTTTTTGAAGGCAAAGATGCAATTGTATCAGCAGACAATCCTCTACTTTCGGTTCCCACAATGTCGCCAAGTGCAAGCAACTCCTGCAAACATTAGAGAGTCTAGTTAAAAGCCAACAGATGTGTTCAATATCTGAATTTTGCATATTGAAAATAGAAATGCATGACGGATCTTAACACTAGATTCTAACAAGTTTAGCAATAGTATTCACATTAAACTATAAACCATTCCACAAAATCATGAGAGAGAGACCGAGCATCCAAATACCATAGAATACCACAAGTGTAACCATACCTCATAAGAAAGCTCATCAGGATCCATCTCATCCCAGGCATCCTGCAAAAATTAATCATACAGAACGTAAGTGGAAGCAGATTCAAATCACATCAATGAAGCCTTAGTTTCTATGATTCTCTACCCTGCAATTCTAATTTTTAGTTGGTTTTTTTTCCACAAAATGGACTAGAGTCAATCAAAGTTCAGTGTGCCGCGAGGTCCCATACTTTAAGGTGTGAACATAACCATCTCCAATACCAGTGACCAGTTACTGCTAGCAGAATACAATTGATTCAATTACCCTCTGGTAAATGCATTTTGACCTTCAAACATACAGTTGTGCAAAATTCCAGTAGCATAAACCAAGAATAATTAGGTACGACCTAGGACCGAATACCAAACAATTTCGATTGAGTAAGACTACAATATAATAATTATCCATGGCACACAATTCCAGTGACCGGCTCAACTATAAACAATAACTACTCCATACACAGGGAAGAGTATCTAACTGAGCCTCCAGACGAAAATGGTTAACACCATGGACTAAACTGTCACGAAAACGAAACAATCTAATGCCATGACAGAAGGATAGAGATAGATGGAACCATGTAAGATGTATAACTAGACAATAGCGGGTTCAACGTCACGACTTTGTCCTTTGGCCACTATATGACTAAACAAAAAAGGGGTTGGACAGTAGTTCTTTTCACATACTGGGGCAAAAAAGTTCATACTCTCATATTCTTAAGCAAAAAATCTGAAAAAGGTTTACAGCTCAAGATAAATAAAGATTTGCTGTAGTGTAAGGAGCCTACCTGAGAAGTATGACTGTCATCCTCTAGATCTTCAACCACCCCTGCAACCACCCCTGCAACCAATAACAGTTAGCATAATCAAAAATGTATCTTAGGACGCCCATCATAGAGAACTTGAGTGATAGCTATAAGTGTACTCACGATTTGCTAACCCAGATAAGGCAGACAATCTAGCTGCCATATCCCTTTCTTCAGCTTCTTGAAGAGCTCTAGCATAGGCCTCATCATCTGAATAAGCAACTTCTTCGATGTCAGAGTTGCCGTCATCTTCTTGATCATCTTCATTAGTGTGCACATTGGCATCGGGCACATCTTCCTGAGGATCATCATCTGTTTCATATTCGTCTTCATCGTCATCCTCATCCTCATTCTCAGGGTCATCAAACTCATCCTCATCGTATACATAGCTTCCAGTTTCCCAGCTCCCATAGTCACTGATTTCACTATTCATGGTCAGCATCATATACGCCCGCTCCTGGAACCCGAAACATACACACACACACATACAAAACAACAAATTTCAATTCTACATAAATCCTTTTGAAAAATCCAAATTCCAAATGCAATTAGAAAGAAAGCCCTAAGATTTCCGCGTCTCCAGGAGAAGTAGTACCAAGAAAGCCCTAACAAGCATGGAATAACCTAAAAACGCAGAAATCCGAAATAGACAGATGAGAAAGAAAGGCCCACCTGTTCTTGGAGTGTGCGAGCAAGAGCAAGATCTGCATCAATTTGGCTTAGATTAGTGAACGGAACTCTAGCGGAGGAAGATCGGGGAGCAGGTAGCTCTCCCACCAAAATCGATCCGCTCTCCTCCACCGTCACCGGCACCGGCACTGCCGTCTCTCCTTCCCCTTGCTCTCCTCTATCGCTACCACTTCCGGTGTCTGATACAACACCGGTCTGCCGATTCTCCGGTAACCGTCCATCAGTCTCGTTAATCTTGGTGGCTTGCTCAGCGGTGACGACGACGTTGCCAACGTGGCCATTGTCGTTCTCCATGGGCATGATTTTCGAATCCGAATCCGGGAGATGGTGGAGTCGATGAGGTTTGGGGATTTTGGAATCGGAAGGGAATTATTCAGGAATCGGAGAAAACGATGACGCGACGAAGAAAGAAAAATGGTGCTTCTCTTTCTCTCTTAGCTGATTTCAAATTTTGAAAAACTATGCAAATTTTCTTCGAAATCACACCCCTTTAATTTTTGTTTCTTTCTAATCTCACCGACTAATATATATTTATTGTCATTTACACCTCCACCTTTTTCGTTTATGTATTTCTTCTTAAGAAGTTTCATCAATGTCACTAGGTAGTATGTGTTAATCCAAAAGTCACTAGGTAGTGTTGGTGTCGGATCCCGCAATTCGGATCCGGCCCGGAAAGATAATGGATCAATAAGATGAAATGAATTGTCGGCCCAGTCCAAGGGACGAAAAGGACAGCCCAGTAAGCTCCAGCCCAGCTCGGGTGAAACGTCGGGATCATGCGAATTAAATGAGACGCGGGTCGCACGGGATTTGCGAGGTCATGAAGATTCGAAACGGAAGCAATGATAAAGGCGAGATCCGCGGCTTGATAGACGACTTCGGTTTCGAATCATGTAACTATAAATAGAGAACGAAAACCATTGTAATGGGGACCGAATTCTTGAGCAATATACAGATACATACACTTCACTCTTTTGTTTTCTTTTTCTTGATTGTTATTCGAATTATCAAGGCTAGACGACCCGACACACATCTTAAAATTTGTATTGCGGATTCCGACATCCACAATTTGGCGCTAGAAGGAGGGTCACTCTAGTCTTTTACTCCAGATTAACCAGTCGAGAAGATGTCAGACGTGACGGATTCGGCCTCAGCCCTCGACGAGATCAAGAAAATGCTGAAAGATCTCTCCGAAAAGACCGACCAGCAACAACTCGCGACCACTACTTTGTCTGAGAAGTTTTCAGCATTCGAAGAGCAAAGCACCAGTCAAATCGCAGTCCTCACGGCAAGTTGTTCCGAAATCAGGTCAGCCCACAATGCTTATGCCGATCGGGTTGATACTATTCTTGCAGGAACCTTGCGAACCAGCGGACCTCGCGGGCATCTGGATTTTCACAATCCAAACACTTCGGAAGTTCAAGATCCTAGACTTGTCACCCCTAGCAGTGCGCTCCCGGCTTCGTTACCTCTGGGTTCTCAAAGCGAGCCTGGAGGAGGATCCAGTTTTCCACAAGCACCTCAAAATCCAGCCAGCGATTCATTCGCTCCGGTCAGAACACCTTTTCCTATCCATCCGGAGAATACCCCGCGTCACCCCCAAACCGGATTCAATCTACCTCGACTCCCGGTCAGCCCGGAAATCCAGAACCTGCAGAATCAAATCCGGGAAATGAATTCGAAGGTTCATCAAGCCACCAGCTCGGCTCCCGAAGTCGATAGAGTGATCGAGGAGACAAGAAGGACTCCTTTTACTCCACGGATTGCAGCCCTGCGAATTCAAGACCAAAGGAAGGTCAAACTTCCGGGGTACAACGGTAAGGGAGACCCCAAAGAATTTTTAACGTCTTTTCAGGTTACCGCGGGGCGCGTACACCTGGAACCAAATGAAGTGGACGCAGGTTTATGCAAACTCTTCGCTGAGAACCTGTCCGGGCCGGCTTTGACCTGGTTCACTCAATTAGAAGAGGGATCTATCGATAGCTTCAAGCAGCTATCCACTGCTTTCATTATGCAGTACGGATACTTCATCAAGAGCGACGTAACTGATGCACAGTTATGGAACCTCTCGCAAGGAGCTGGAGAGCCACTCCGGACTTACATCACGTCCTTTAAAGAGATTATGGTTCAGATCCCAAATCTGTCTGATTCCGCAGCTATTGCTGCACTCAAGAACGGTCTCTGGCATGAATCTCGTTTCCGAGAAGAATTGACTGTTAACCGACCAGCCACTATTCAGGACGCTCTTCATCGGGCAACGAACTGGATAAACGCGGAGGAAGAGCGAGCTGCTCTAGCCAAAAAGTTCAAAGCTGCCCCGAAGCCCGCTCAGCTTCCTCCGCAGAAGAAACCTATTCAAGCCGAAGCTCGCAAACCCGGAGCGGGAACATTTTCAGTAGACCGGGAAGAGCCGAAAGGTTCTCCGAAGAATTCACCTGCGAAGCAATCCTTCTCGCCCAAGAACAAAAATGGCGCATTCCCGAGTAACAAGTGGATCCGTGATCCAAACGCTTATTGCGAAATCCACAAAGTTAATGGACATGCTACGAAAGATTGCAAAGCTTTAGGAAGACTGCTGGCTGCTAAGTTCGCATCTGGTGAAATATCTGAAATTGATGTTTCGGAACTCGAGTCAGCTCATCCGTCAGAGCAAACAGTCGAGCCAGAGGTGTCCTCTCCCCCTAATAAGAAATCGAAGAGGATCCAATCTCCGGATATTCCTAAAGGACCAAAAAAGCAAATCCAGGTGATTATGGGGGGATCCAAGCTTTTTCGAGACTCCATTAGTGCGATCAAGCAACACGAACGAAGAACAAACTCCCCAGTACTCAAGAAAGCAAGAGTCATTGAGGCGCAGTTACCCGAAGTAACCTTCTCAGAAAGCGAAACGAGTCAACTTGACAAACCGCACGATGATGCTCTGGTCATAACACTTGATATTGCGCATTGCGAAGTATCACGAGTTCTCATTGATACTGGGAGTTCGGTGGATTTAATCTTCCTTGATACCCTGACAAGAATGGGGATATCAAAGCAAAGTATAAAGGGGCCACCATCTCCTTTGGTTTCCTTTACCAGTGAAACTTCAATGTCAGTAGGAACAATTGTGCTCCCGGTATCTGCCGAAGGGATAGTCAAAATGGTCGAGTTCACTGTGTTCGATCGTCCTGCGGCTTACAATGTTATCTTAGGGACGCCTTGGCTCTATGAAATGAAAGCTGTACCCTCGACGTATCATCAATGCTTAAAGTTCCCAACTACGTCCGGAGTAAAACAAATCCTTGGAAGTCAGCGAGCTGCGAGGATGTGTTACATGTCTAGTCACAAGCTGAAGATTCAATAGCAACCACAGCTCGAGGTACCTGCGAATCCAGTCAAAAAAATCAGCAGTGACCTCGTGGAAGCAGTGGTAATTAATGAGGAATATCCGGACCAAACTGTGAACATAGGATCTGGATAAAGTGAAACGCTCCGAGCCGAACTGGTCAAATTCTTGAAAAGGAATCAAAAAACTTTCGCTTGGAAGATTGAGGAGATGACTGGGATTGATACAAAGGTAATCTCACACGAGCTCAACATCGATCCGACTTTCAAACCGGTTAAACAAAAGCGCAGGAAACTCGGTCCGGATCGAGCCGAAGCTGTTAACACCGAAGTGCAGCGTTTGCTTGATGCGGGTTTAATTCGCGAAGTCAAATACCCGGACTGGTTGGCAAACCCCGTTGTAGTAAAAAAGAAAAATGGGAAATGGCGAGTTTGTGTGGATTTCACCGATCTTAACAAAGCTTGTCCCAAAGATAGTTTCCCACTTCCGCACATCGATCGACTTGTGGAGTCAACTACGGGTCACGAAATGATGTCTTTTATGGATGCTTTTTCCGGGTATAATCAGATTTTGATGAATCCGGAAGATCAGGAGAAAACAGCTTTCATCACGGACCGCGGAACTTACTGTTATATAGTCATGCCTTTCGGATTGAAAAATGCCGGAGCCACTTATCAACGGTTGGTGAATATGATGTTCAAAGATCTCCTCGGAAAAACGATGGAAGTATATATTGATGATATGTTGGTGAAGTCAGTGTCAAGTACTTCGCATATCGAACATCTAGAACAGTGCTTCGCAATTCTGAATGAGTTCGGAATGAAACTAAACCCGACCAAGTGTACTTTCGCAGTTCCGTCGGGAGAGTTTTTGGGTTATATCGTCACGGAGCGAGGAATCGAAGCTAATCCGCGACAATTGAACGCTTTTCTGGCGATGTCTTCGCCTCGCAACATCCGAGAAGTTCAGCGACTCACGGGGCGGGTAGCAGCTTTGAACCGTTTCATCTCGAGGTCAACCGATAGATGCCTTCCATTCTATAATCTGCTCAGGAAAGCGAACAAGAATTTCATCTGGGATGAGAATTGCGAAAAGGCATTCAAAGATCTGAAAGATTATTTGTCCAAACCTCCTGTGTTAGCGAAGCCCGAGTTCGGAGAAGAGCTTTTCTTGTACGTATCAGTATCTGACAGCGCAGTAAGCGGAGTGTTAGTGCGGTTGGATCGGAACGACGAAAGACCGATTTTTTATGTAAGCAAGTCTTTTTCAGGAGCAGAGTCGAGGTATCCGATGATGGAAAAGTTAGCCCTGGCAGTAATTACTTCGGCGCGGAAATTAAGACCGTATTTTCAATCTCATACGGTTATTATCCTAACTACGCAACCTTTAAGGGCAATTTTGCATAGTCCGAGTCAGTCGGGAAGATTGGTCAAATGGGCAATCGAGTTAAGCGAGTATGATATTCAGTTCCGAACAAGGACAAGCTTGAAATCTCAAGTCCTCGCAGATTTTCTGATCGAACTACCTCTGGTTTCCATGGAAGACAGAGAAAACGAAGGACCTTGGATACTTCATGTGGACGGAGCATCTTCAAAACAAGGTTCCGGGATCGGTATCCGGTTACAATCTCCATATGGTGAAGTAATTGAACAGTCATTTCGTCTCGCGTTTAATGCGTCAAACAACGAGGCGGAGTATGAGTCTCTCCTTGCAGGACTTCGCCTAGCGATTGGGATAGGTATCACGAAACTACGGACATTCTGTGACTCGCAGCTCGTTGCTAATCAATTTTCTGGTGACTATGAAGCTAAGGATAGTAGAATGGAGGCTTACCTAGCTCAAGTTCAACATCTGAGTAAGAAGTTTCAAAGTTTCGAACTCACAAGGATTCCACGAGGCGAGAATTCAGCTGCAGATGCTTTAGCTGCGTTAGCATCGAGTTCCGAAGTGACAGTAAGCAGAATGATCCCTGTCGAAGTAATCGAGCATCCGAGCATAGCAGGTTCAAGTCCATCAGTCGGGGAAATGAATTTTGTAACCACTCGTTCTATGCGTAGAAGAATGAATAT